GAAGTTCGTCAAGAAGAGATTCTCCATGTGGCACGAGAAGAGCCTCCTGTCACACACAGGACACCCAGCAGGGGGGTGGCAGGTCTCTCCGCGCTAACCCCACAGGGGGGGAGGAGAAGGCCCTGATGATCCCCCCCCACCCCAGTTGAGAAGCAAAATCTGCCTGCCTCAAATCAAGTAACTCAGCAAGCTACCCTGCAGAAGTGAAAGAGAAATGAACGTTTTTTTTCTCTGATAAGCAGAAAATGGAGGAGTTCAATCACCGCTATGCCAAGCGGAAACAGAACTATAGTTAGAAGCGGAAGGATAATCAGACACTGAGCACTTACTCATAGAGGTCAAAGGCAACTTCAGAACCAGTAGAGATAAGTTCACTCTTTTTGTTTCCTTTTGCTGGTCCTGGAGCTTGAACTCAGGCCTGAGCACTGCCCCTGAGCTAGCACTCTACCACTTGAGCCAGAGCTGTACTTCAGGCTTTTTTTGGGGGGGGAGGGGGGAGGGTTGACTAATTGGAGAGTTGAATGGACTTTCCTTCCAGGGCTGGCCTTGAACTGCTATCCTCTGGATCTCAGCCTCCTGAGTAGATCAGATTATACATGTGAATCACCAGCTGACAAATTTAAACTCAGAATTCTTCAATGGATCCAGATGGCAGCCTAACCTATCTTATGTTTAAAAATGACAGGAAAACCAGGTCTGGTGGCTCACACCTGTAAGTCCTAGCTACTCAGGAGGCTGAGATCTGAGGACTGCAGTTCAAAGCCAGTCTGGGCAGGAAAGTCAATGAGACTCATATCTCTAATGAACCAGCAAAAGGCCAGAAGTGGAGCTCTGGCTCAAGTAGTAGAGTACCTTGAGCAAAAGTGGCTCAGGGACAGTTCCCAGGCTCTGAGGTCAAGCCCACACCGACACACACACACACACACACACACACACACACGCACACACACACACCAGCTTCGATCATGCTTTTCTCTCCTCTCTCTGCAGGATGCAGTAGCACACACATCGGGCAAGTGACCACACCGTTCGCATGGGGACTAAAGACGCAGGGTAAGCCGGCGGACGACAGCCCAGTCTACCTGGTTGTCCTGGAGAGGGGGCAGGAGGTGGAGTCACAAACACATGATTTCTAGGAGCGAGTGGGGGTGGTGGGAGGGTGAGTACTTCATTTTTCTGATTCTTGCTATTATGTTTCATTTGTGTCCTCAAATTACTGCTGTCTGCCCACAGCCCTCCACAATTCCCACCAACCTTAGGGTAAAGCCCAAGTCTTCGCTGCAGCCCCGAGGGCCCTGCACAACCCACCCATCTCCTCCCTGCCTCCTCCTCCTACCCTTTCTCTGCCCCTCATTCCTTCTGTTCCAGCCATACAGGCTCATTACTGTTCCTCCATCCTACCCCAGGGCCTTTGCACCAGCAATGCCCTAGGACTGGAACATTCTAACCCTGCATACACACAAGACTTTCTACCTCCCCTTCTTTTACTTCCTGTGTATTTAATCCCTACTCAGGGACTCTATTATTTTTACCATTGTCACCAACTCCCATGCCTCTGCATTCTTGCTCTGTGTGTGGGGAGTAGGGAGGTGTGTGTGTGTGTGGTTATGTGTGCTTTGTTCCATGGTCAAATCTGTAGTGTGTAAGGAAGTGTCTGAAGTGTCGCCAATCACTCAGATGTGTCTGTGGAGATGACCACACACACACACACACACACACACACACACACACACACACACACACTGCATTTTAAAGAACGCAGTCAGCCAGGCACTTACACCGGTAGCTACTCAGGAGGCCAAGTTCTGAGATTCACAGTTCAAAGCCAGCCTGGCAGGAAAGTCTGTGAGACTCTTATCTCCAATGAACCACCAGAAAACCAGAAGTGGTGCTGAGGCTGAAGTGGTAATGCACTAGCCTTCAGCAAAAGAGCTCAGGAACAGCACTCAGGACCCAAGTTGCAAGCCCTATGGAAGAAGAAATAATGAGTTTATATTATACAGGGCCTGACAAGTCTCAAGACCTTCAGGATGAGTCTGCAAGATGGAGACCTGGACAGTGTCACTCTCGAATCAGAGCCCTGAGCCCTGAGAACCGGGAGAGTTGAGGGTGTGGTTCCAATGTAAAGATGTAAAGATGGAGAAACCCAGGAGAAGCTGATGCTCCATTTCTACTCAGGCCTTCAATGGACAGGACAGGGACCATCCATGCTGGACCGGGCTGGCTCCTTAGTCCATTTACTCCTCTAAGACAGCCCCGCAGATGCACACAGAGTAGCATTTGACCAAATGTCTCAGTGCCCTGGGGCCTGGGGAGCTTTGCACATAAAGTTTCCCATCACATTACTAAGTAAATAGGCGTATTTGTTTTACTTTTCATTTCTTTTGTGCTGGTACTGGAGCTTGACCTCAGGGATTCACGCTCTTAATCATCTCTTTCGCTCAAATCTGGTGCTCCCCCACTTGAACCACAGCTTTGCTTCCGCCTTTTTGGTAGACCTAAGAGTCTCACAGACTTTCCTGCCAATGCTGGCTTTGAACCCTGTGATCTTCAGATCTTGTGCCCCGGTGAGAGGCCAAAATCTGAACCTGCAACTTTATTACCTTATAAAGACCCTCTGTCCAGGACATGGGGTATAGAACTTCTGTTTTATCTTCCATCACCGCCCCCTCTGCCCTCTCTGCTGCTTCCCTGGTAGTACCTTTCCCCCGTCTAACCCCACACGAACACCCTTCGCTGCCGCCTAGATGTGAACGAGTGTTTGGACACCACTGCGTGCCCAGCCTATGCTGTCTGTGTCAACACCGTGGGCAGTTACTTCTGCACCTGCAAACGAGGCTTCCGGCCCAGTAATGGACAGCACAACTTCAGTGACCCACAGGTGAAGTGTGACGGTGAGCTCGCGGCCGCTCAGCTCCAGCACTGGATGGGGGAACCAGAGCCACGGGGCTGGGTAGTGGATGGAGGGACTACCCATTCCCTCCTTTCCTTCATGTTCATCCATCTATCTATCCACCAATATATCCATCCACCATCCAACTGCTCATCTATCCATCTATCCTTGCATCCCTCCATCCACCCACCCATCCATATATCCATCTACCCATCCATCTAACAATTCATTCCATGTGTACATCTATCCATGATCCATCTACCATCTATTCATCTATGCACGCATCCATCCATCCATCTATCCATCTGCCCACCCATCATCCATCCATCCACCTGTCTTCCCACAGTCATCCAATAATCCATCTATCCACCAGCCAGCCAGTCACTCCACTTTTCATCTATCCTGCATCCATACAATTCATTATCTGTATCCATCCACCCACTCACCATCCATCCACCCATCTACCCATCCATCATCCATCCATCCACCCATCTATCATCCACTTATCCACTCACCCACCTATCCATCTACCCATCCTTCATCCGCGCACTCATCCCTCCATCCACCCATCTACTATCCATCCATCCACCCATCTACCCATCCATCATCCACCCATTCATCCACCCATTCATCATCCATCCACCCACCTATCCATCATCCATCCATCCATCCATCTATCATCCACTTATCCACTCACCCACCTATCCATCTACCCATCCTTCATCCGCGCACTCATCCCTCCATCCACCCATCTACCCATCCATCATCCACCCATTCACCCACCCATCCATCATCCATCCACCCACCTATCCATCATCCATCCATCCATCCATCCATCATCCACTCATCCATTCATCCATCCATCATCTATCCATCACCTACCCTTCCATCCACCCATGCATCCATCATCTACCCACAGATGTACCATACACAGTCTTTTCTTCCCTCCACTTTGTTTTCCTAATTCCTGGTCACTGAAAGTCTGCAGGTGGTTGGGCTTCCTCTCAGCATGGCAGCAGCGCTCCTGGACTGAGCGTGTCAGGAAAGCACAGCAGAAGTGTGTGGCATTCTCATGGCCTGGCACGGCATCTTAGTTTCCTAGCCTCATTTCTACCCTGGTTGCAAGCAGGCTGGCACTCCAGGGGAGGCATACACCTGCAGCCGCTTGCTTGAGGGACACAAGATCACACTGAGTGGGGAGTGCGTGGCTGGGGGATGACGTTTCAACCATCTTTGGAAAAACCCAATCTGCCACCAGGACTGTGTGTGGGGGCCAGTGTTGGAGCTTGAACTCAGGGCCCAGGGGCTGTCCCTGAGATTTTTCACTCAAGGCTGGTGCTCTACCACTTGAACCACACTTCCACTTCTGGCTTTTTTGGTAGTGCATTGGAGACAAGAGTCTCATGGACTTTGCTGTCTGGGTTGGCTTCGAACCACGGTTCTCAGATCCCAGCCTTCTGAGTAGGTGGAATTACAGGCGTGAGCCACCCTCCTGTGCTCCCCCCCCCCCCCATGTCTGTGCAGACATCAATGAGTGCGTGGAAAGCCCAGATCCCTGTGGCCCTCACTCCATATGCTTCAACCTTTTGGGGAGATACACTTGCAGCTGTGTTTCTGGCTTCTCGTCTCCCACTGGGAACAACTGGGCACCAGGGAAACCTGGCATCTTCGCCTGTGCAGGTAATGCTTCGGGGCTCCCCAGCGTGGAACCTGGGAGACAAGTGGCCCGGGGAGGCAGGTGGGCATCTGCAGACATGGCTTGTTCACTGTCTCTCACCCCCCAGACATTGATGAGTGCCTGGCCAGCAGGATCTGCCATGAGCACGCACACTGCACCAACACCATGGGCAGCTACAGGTGCATCTGTCAGGCTGGGTTCATCGCCAGGGGCTCCGCTTGCGAAGGTATGGCAGTGTGCTTGTCACTTGTTTCTGAGGCGTTTTGGTGGCTCCAGGTATGGGGCTCAGGGCCTTGCACACACACACACACACACACACACACACACACACACACACACACACACAGAGTTACATCCCCCAACTTGTACTTCCTCAACAAAACTCAACTCGGTCACCACCTCCTTGAGCAAGGGACCAGGGCTCTTACTGCAGGGCCAACTGGAGTTCAGAGAGGGGAAGTGACTTTTCCCAGGGTGCACAGTTGGGAGGGGAGAGAGCAGGGTTGAACTGAGGGACTATATCGAGGCAGCAGTGGTCCAGGCTGCCCCTGAGAGTCACTAGGATCTCATCTCCAGAGTGGTTGAACCGCATGGGGCGCTGACACTATGCAGAGTTTTGCTTGTCACACAGGTGGTAGGTGAAGGAGCTGTGTTCTGGAGGCATCTAGTGGGTAGAGGCCAGAGACATCAATAAATGTCCTGCAATGCACAGGAGAGACACCATCCTTCTCTCCCTCCCTCCCTCTCTCCCTCCCTCTCTCTTTCCTCCCTCCTCCTCCTTCCTCTTCCTTCCTCCTCCTCCTTCTTCCTGATCCTCCCCTTCCCTTTCCTCCTCCTCCCCTTCTCTTCCCTCCTGGTGTTGGAGTCAGGCAGAGCCCATGCTAGACAGGCACTTCCTTACTAAGCAGAGTCTTCCTTCTTTAGATAGCTCCAGGCAGAGACAAGAGGCCCCAAGAGTGACAACCGAAGCCCCCAAGCCCCTTGAGATCCCAATGTGACAGCTGTCACTTGGTGACACAAGCCAGAGAGCCAGAGACCAGGCTCCTGTACTAGGACATGGCCCATGGTGTGAGGCCTTTTTTTTGTTCCTAATCCTGGGGCTTGAACTCAGGGTCTGGGCACTGTCCTGAGCTTCTTTGAGCCACAACTCCATTACTTCCAGTTTTGGGGTGGTTACCTGGAGATAAGTCTCATGTACTTTTCTGCCCAGGATGGCTTTGAACCACGAGCCTCAGACCTCAGCCTCCTGAGTAACTAGGGTGACAGGTGTGAGCCACCAGTGCCCCCAAAATGGTAGTTTTGTTTTGCTTTTTGTTTGTTTCCTGAAGCCATTTTTTGCAAACTGATCATCTTCGGGCTTCCGTATGTGGGGCCAGAATTTACCCTCTTGGAGGTGGTGAACTTCAGGGGTGGGGGCTGGGAAGTGTCCCCCCACCTGCTCAGGAGGAAGGGGAGGTGTGGTATCGGGGTTCCTGGTGCACCCTGAGCTTGGGTTTGTGTCTGCTCCTCCTCAGATGTGGACGAGTGTGCGGCTCCCGGAACCTGCCCCCCGTCTGCCACCTGCTACAACATCCCCGGGAGCTACGTGTGCTTGTGCCCCTCAGGGCAGGAGCTGGGCAGCGGGCAGCGGAGCACCCAGGGCCCGGGGAACCAGTGTGAAGGTGGGTGGACAGGCCCAGCTGTGGCCAGGGAGGACTGGGCTTACAGACATGCTGGGGAAGCATGGGATGGAGGCTCGTGGGTTCACACCGGCCATGCTCACACGGCTGGCCAGCAGCCGGACCTGCTGCCGTCACTCCAAGCTCTCCTCACAGCAGCTTCTCCACAGGGCGGCTCGGGTTTTCCCACTGCCTCATTGCTGGCTTCCAAAGAAGTAAGATTTCCAGAGGGAGAAGTAAGCAGTCTCAGACCTTTCCTTACACTGCACCCTATTGGTCATGCTCAGGGACCATTCTTTACACTGCACCCTATTGGTCATGCTCAGGGACCATTCCCTACACTGCACCCTATTGGTCACTCACAGGGATCATTCCTTACACTGCATCCTATTGGTCATGCTCAGGGACCATTCTTTACACTGTACCCTATTGGTCATGCTCAGGGATCATTCCCTACACTGCACCCTATTGGTCATGCTCAGGGACCATTCCCTACACTGCACCCTATTGGTCACTCACAGGGATCATTCCTTACACTGCATCCTATTGGTCATGCTCAGGGACCATTCTTTACACTGTACCTTACTGGTCACTCACAGGCATCATTCCTTACACCGCAACCGATTGGTCATGCTCAGGGACTATTCCTTACACTGAACCCTATTGGTCACGCTCAGGGACCATTCCTTACACTGCACCCGATTGGTCACTCACAGAGATCATTCCTTACACTGCACCCTATTGGTCATTCACAGGGACCATTCCTTACACTGCACCCTATTGGTCACTCACAGGGACCATTCCCTACACTGCACCCTATTGGTCACTCACAGGGATCATTCGTTACACTGCACCCTATTGGTCACACTTGAAAACCATCCCCTTATATGTTTTGGGTTTACCAAATCAGAGTGCATCATGGCAATGACAAGTGATGGGATGGATCTGTACTGTCTAGGCTTGTACCAGGGCAATCGGACCTCTGAATATCCCCAGCCATACTCTTGTCAGCCACACCATTAACTACAGAGGAGTCACCAACAGGCTCCAACTAACCTTCCCCCTCCCCACTGCCCTACAGACATAGACGTGTGTGACAGGTGTCCTGCGAACGCAACCTGCACCAACACCCCCAGGGGTCACTTCTGCACCTGTCACGCCGGCTTCACACCGAGCAGTGGACCACAGAACTTCACAGACCAAGAGGTGCAATGCACAGGTGAGCAGGGGTCAGCCGCACAGGGCGGGGGGCAGGGCAGAGGTTTCCCACCGTTCCTCTCACTTTCCGGTATATCTGACTTCTTTGCAGATATTGATGAATGCTCCCAAGACCCAGAGTTATGTGGCCCCAATTCTGTCTGTGCCAATGCCCTGGGCTCTTACCGTTGTGGCTGCCGCGTGGGCTTCCGGGCCAACCCAGGAGGCTCCCGGGCGCATGGCAACTTCAGCTGTGAAAGTAACGCTCTCGTGAGGGGATGTGCAGCTTCAAACCCCCCCTTCTCCTTCCCTTTCCCTTCCCCCTTCCTTCTTTCATCGATTTCTCTTCCTTTTTTCCCCTTCTTTTTCTCCCTCCCTCCTTCTTTCCCCTTCTCTTCCCTTCCTTCCTTCTTTCCTTTCCCCCTTCTTCTTCAATAGTCTATAGACTAACCAGTAAGTAACTTAACAGCCCCTGCCCAGGCATCTACCCCCCAATCATGAATATGACAGGCATTATTGGTGCCTTTCTATGGAAGGATCCACAGAGCACAGCCCACTCACTAATAATGACCACAGTGGGAGCCACAGTTGTAACACCATAGCAACTCTGAACTGAAGAACGTGCTGAGAAATATGCTTTGAGAAACTTTGGTTTTTAGGTTGAAACTTGAAGGAGGAAGGGTGGGAATGATTTAGATGAAGTGTGAAAGACCGTGCTCTTCCTGGTTATAGCATGTGCAAAGGTACAGAAGCTTCATACAGAATGACAAGGGAGAAGCAGCCTCAGATGGCTCTGACGATGTGGGCAGAACTCAGATTTTTCAGGGTTTTGGGTGCCAGACAAAAACATTTGAGAGTCTTTTTTCTTCTTTAAGAATAATAGAAGCCAGGTACTGGTTCTAATGTTGAAAGAAAATGCTCAGGGACAGCGCCCAAGCCATGAGTTCAAGCCCTAGTACCGGCACGCATGCACGCCTCCCCCCCACACCCCAATAGAGAACTGTGGTAGTTTTAAAATTTTGCCAGTCACCTGTGGCTCACACCTGTGATCCTTGCCACTCAGGAAACTGAGACCTGAGGATTGTTGTTGGAAGCCAGCCTATGCTGGAAAGTCCATGAGACTCTTATCTCTAACAACTAATCAGAAAAAAAGCTGGAAATGGAGCTGTGGCTCAAGTGGTAGAGTGCTAGCCTTGTGCAAAGAAGCTCAGGGACAGCGCTTATGCCCAGAGTTCAAGCCTGAGAACTGACAAAAAAATTATGTTTTATAATTGTTAATGTTATTGTAAAGATGGTGTACAGAGGGGTTACAGTTACTTAAGCCAGGTAATGAGTACCTCCTCCCCCTCCCTTTATCAGTCCTGGGGCTTGAACTTGGGGGGGGCCTGGGTGCTGTCCCTGAGCTCTTTTGCTCAAGGCTCGCATTATACCACTTTGAGCCACAGCTCCACCTCCGGTTTTCCCATGATTAATTGGAGATAAGAGTCTCACAGACTTTCCTGCCTGGGCTGGCTTTGAACTGCCATCCTCCGATCTCAGTCTCCTGAGTAGCCAGGATGACAGGCGTGAGCCACCAGGGCCCAGCATGAATCTATTTCTTTTTGGACAATGTCACCCCTTCCGTTGCTCTCTCTCAGTTTTTCCCTCCCATCCCCATGCACTGAAATTTTGAAATAATACATATTTGGCTACATTAACATATATCGGACTGAAATGTGTAATAGCGGAACCAGTGTGTGTGAGAAGTTCTCAGTGGGAGAATGGCTTCGTTTTTCCTGAGGGCTCCTGGCCTCCAACTTACCCTTTTGTCTCCTCAGAAAAAAAAAAGGGCTTGGAATTCATATTTATTAGCCCCCATCTTTTACAAAGTACTTCCCTAGGCCCCCTACCCGGACTGGGTATGTGCATCGAAGTGTCATCTTGAAATCCAGCCGCTTAGCCTTCCTGCCCTGTGCTGTAGCTGCACTGCAGGTTCTAAGCAGTGGGGTAATGAACTCCGATTACCTTGTCTTTTTCTTTTGGCAATCATATTAGGGCTTAAAGTCAGGGCCTCACACTCTTGCTTTCAAGGCTGGTGCTTTACCACCTGAGCCATAGTTCCACCTCTGGCTTTTTTTTTCTGGTGGTTCATTGGAGCTTCGAGTCTCTGTCTTCCCAGGCAGCCTTTGAACCGCGATCCTCAGATCTCAGCCTCCTGAGCAGCTAGGATGGCAGGTGTGAGCCGCCGGTGCTCAGCTCAACTCACCCTGTCATCCTGTCTTGGAGACTGGCATGACTGCTCTGCTTTTCCCTCTAGGGGTTCCCTTTAAGTGTAGGGAGGACATGATTCCTGACAATGAGCAGGTCCAGCAGTGCCAAGCGGGGACGGCTGCAAAGCCTCAACACGTGAGTATTGTTGAGGATTCTTAGTTCTTGAGGTTTTCTGTGAACCTACTTTGTTTTTCCTTTGTCGGTCATGGATCTTGAACTCAGGGCCTGGGTGCTATTCCTGAGCCTTTTCACTTAAGGCTAGTGCTCTTTGAGCCACAGCTCCACTTAGGGCGCTGCTTTCTTCAATCTTCACAACGTGAACAGTAATAACAAAAGAGCAAGAATAATGTTGGCTGCAACTAGATCCTGTTCCTTCTCCTCCTTCTCCTCCATGAAGTCTCACTTTGTGGCCCAAGATGGCTGCTCTAGCTCTGGATATCACATCTGCATCCCAGAGAATGGGCAGAGAGGGGGAAGTGAAGGACACAATCTTTCTTCTCAAGAATATGCCCCTGGGCTGGGAAGGTGGCTCAGTGGTAGAGCGCTTGCCTTGCATGCATGAGGCCTTGGGTTCCATTCCTCAGCACCACATAAGCAAAAAGAAAAAAGCTGGAAGTGGCGCTGTGGCTCAAGTGGTAGAGCGCTAGCCTTGAGCTGAAGAGCTGAGGGACAGCGCCCAGGCCCAGAGTTCAAGCCCCATGACCAAGAAAAAAGAAAAAAGAATATGCCCAAGCGTGGCTTCAGTAGCTCATATTTATCATCCTAGCAATGCAGGAGACTGAGATCTGGAGGACTGAGGCTCAGGGCCAGCCCAGGCAAAAAAGTCTGAGAGATTCTCTGACTTATGCTTCCAGCTTCTTCTGTCAAGATGAAGTTTTCAGAACTTTTTGCCTGGGTTGGTCTCAAACCATGATTTTCCTAATCTCCACCTCCAGATTAGCCGGAATAATAGATTTATTCTTATTTAATATTCGTTAACCAACTTGCCTGGACCTCTGCCCTCCCATACTTCCTAACTGCTAGTGAAAAATGTTGGTCTAGGGCTGTGGTAGGGGCGTGGCCCAAGCTGTGGGGGTGTGGCTTAGCCTAGGGGTGTGGCTCCGGTGGGTATGTGTGACTCAAGCCGTGGGCGTGGCTCAGTCTGGGGGAGTGGCCAAAACAGTTTGGGGTGTGGCTCAAGCGATGGAGGCATGGCTCAAGCGGTAGGGGTGTGGCTAAGTGGCTGGGGCGTGGTTACAGCACTAGGGGTGTGGCTCATACAGCATGGGCGTGGCTCCGTGGTAAGAGGTGTGGCCAGTGGTTGGGTGGCAGAACCCTGCCTAGCAAGTGCAAAGCCCTGAGCTCAAACCTCAAGACAACCAAAAACGAGAGAGAGAGAGAGAGAGAGAGACCCAACTCCTCAGTTGATCTGCTGAGTGTTCCCTGAGACTTTAGGGATTCAGGAACTCAGAGCAGGGCTGGCTATGTGGGTACCACACTTGGGGGACAGATGAGTAGATTCACAGGTGCTCTTCCTTCTGGGGTTCAGGTCTTCTGTGCACTTGTGAACGCCACCTTCAGCATCCTGGATGACACCTGTGAGAACAAGACCGGCGCCATGTCCCTGAAGGTAACCCCGGAGCCTCTGCAGTCATGCATATTAAGCTGAACACATCTTAGCGTTGCTCTGGGGGGCACAGAGAACTTTTGTTTATAGAATGACTGGCTTGTGAGTTTGCGTTTAACTTATGGCAGTTGTAAAGTTTATGAAAATGCACCTACAAGTCGGGTGCAGTGGCTCACACCTGTAGCCCTGGCTACTTGGAGGCTGAGATAAGAAGGATCTTGGTTTGAGACCAGCCTGGGCAGAAAAGTTCATGAGACTCCTTGACACATAGCTGGGCTTGATGCTGCCTGCTTGTCATCTTGGCTTCATGGGAAGTGTAAGTAGTAGGCTGATCACTCTCCAGACATTCACTAGGCAGGCAGTGAGCATCTCGAAAATAACCAGCATCCCAACTACTCAGGAGGGTGAGATCTGAGGTTGGAAGTTCGAAGCCAGCCCAGGCAGAAAAATCCATAAGATTCTTATCTCCAATTTTCCAGCAAAAAGCTGGAACTGGAGGTGTGGTCCAGGTGGTAGAGCCTCAGCCTTGGAAAATCTAAGTGGAAGTGCAAAGCCCTGAGTTCAAACCTAGTACAAAACAGGGTTGAGGGAGTCCAAGCACCTGCCTAGCAAGTGTGAGGCCCTGAGTTCAAGCTCCGGTACTGCCCCCCTCCTCCAAATGAACCTACAGTGAAATTACTTTTTGAGCTTTGGGAGCGCACATTTCTGGGAGAATAGCGACACAGAGTAACCTCGAGGCAGACATGGGCTGTCCTCTTCCCTGTGCTTTTGGGGACAGGCCACAGGGCATCACCACTGCTCTATGAGTGCTCCATCACTGAACTACGCCCAAGCCCAGCTGACCCTCCTACACCTGTGCACCCCTAACCTGTGGCCTCTCTGTGCAATTGTGTAACTTCAAGAATGTCATATCACTGGATGCCAAGTGTGGTAGTGCACACCCATAATCCCAGTACAGGGGAGGCTGAGGCTGCCTGGGAGCTAGACTTCATTGTTGTTTGTGTTTTTGACGATGGCTGATCGGACTGGGATGACATGGAATGTCACTCCATATTTGTTGGCAATTTGTAGTTCTTTTGGGGGAAATGTCCGTCCAGTTCACTTGCACCTTTATTTGTTGGATTATTTGTTCTTTTGGGGCTTAATAGTTTGAGCTCTTTATGTACTGATATTGATTAATTGTGATTTAATCGATTAATAGTCAAACGATCATGATTACACTAATGGATTTCAAAAATTAGCATGATTCATTAACAATTGATATTATTAATGTACTCATTAGACACTGTGATGAACTTACAACTTGTGGGTGGGGGTGGGAGGGAAAACCTGGGACAGAGACTTTGTCCAAACAGAAATGTACTCTTTACCTGGCTTCCGTAGCTGTAACATGTCTGTACATCACCTTTATAATCACAATAAAACATTAAAAGAAACAAGCTTTTTAAATAGAACGAACAATTAACTACTTGATGTTGGGTATAATTCATCACAAGTAATAATTAATCATCTAATTAGATATAATTAATAATAGAATTGATGTGATTCATTGATATAATGCAGTGCATTAGTCTAACAGTTGATCTGATGACTGATTGATATAATAAATATGGTTAATAAGCACTAATGGTCATTCATGTTAAATATGCTTCATTGACAATTAGCATTCACTGTGATGAATATTAATCCCTTGCTTAATTTCCAGTTAGCATTCACTGTGATGAATATTAATCCCTTGTCTAAGGAATAGCTGGGAAGGGTTCTCTGCCACTCCCCGGCTGTGTCTGCAGTCTGCGTTGGCCCCACACCTGGTGTCTATTGCCTCTTTTCTTTCCCAGGAGGTGGTCATTCTGCTCTGAAAGGCGTCTCTAGGCCTCACTGCCTTTTCTTGCAGAGTCAGGTTGAGAGCTTCAGCTCAGTGCTCCAGGAAAGCCCCATGTGGAGGAACCTCAGCCAACCCGAGGTGTCGGCCCTGGCCAGCGTGCTCCTGGCCAGCGTGGAGAGCAGTACCTTGGCTTCCCTCCTGACCCCGTCTGCAAACAACAGTCAGACCATCCAGACAGAGTACCTGGGTAATAGCTGTTGGGGCAAGGCCGGGCCTGCAGGCCCCTTCTGAGGGCTGATCTAGTCCATGGCACTGCCTGTAGCTTCCCCCCAACCCCAATATCTAACACCACCATGCCAAAATCCCGTCTTCTGCCTGGTGCCGTAGCTCACACCTAGAGTCCAAGCTAGTCAGGAGGCTGAAGTCTGAGGATCGTGGTTCCAAGCCAAGCCAGGCAGTAAAATCCGTGAGACTCTCATCTCCAATTAACTAGCAAAAAGCTGGACATGGAGCTGTGGCTCAAGTGGTAGAGCACTAGCCTTGAGCAACAAAGCTCAAGGACAATTCCTTGACTGGCACCAAAAATAAATAAAAATAAACAAGTCCCATATTCACACAAAACAGGTCTAATTGCATGAATGACATTTCTTACTTTTTATGGTGCCAGTTCTGGGCCTTGAACTCAAGGCCTAAGCTTAGCTTTTTGGCTCAGGGTTGGCGCTCTACCAAAGGTGCCACAGCTCCACTTCCAGTTTTCTCTTGGTTCACTGGAGGTAAGAGTCTCATGGACTCTCTTGCCTAGGCTGGCATGGAACCTTGGTCCTCAGATCTCAGCCTCCTGAGGAGCTAGGCTCACAAGCATGAGCCAGGAATGCTCACCAGTAGTGAGCAGCACAGCTCTCAGGAGTCTTATGTATTTAGTGAGTCAAAAATCCCCTTTCCAAAGCCTGCTCCCCACGATGACATCACTTCTTCCCAACATCCCATCTCCTCTAACTTTCACCACCTCCCACTAGTGTCCTGGGATGGGGGACAGAGCCCCCAAGACTTGAGAGACATCCCAGATCCAGACAGCAGCAGTCACCCCATCCATCCTCTGTGCCCCCTAAGAGGAGGAGGCTCCCTTTCCCAACCCCACCTAGACCTCTTACGGTCTGGTGCTGGCATCTTCCCCACCATTCACTAAGGAGGTTCATCATTCTTCTCTACAATGGAATTGGCCCTTCGCTTGTTCTTTGCATCTGTGGCTTAGGTTGTAATCTTTCTTGAACAGAAAGCAAATAGGGGACCTATTTGGGGGGGTGACCTCATGCAGAACTCACGCCTTTGTCTCTTCAGATATAGAGAGCAGAATTATCAATGAGGAATGTAACAGGGATATGTCCATTCAGCTGAAAGCCAAAGGTGATGGGATAAAGATCGGGTGCTCCATCATTGAAGAATCAGGGCCTACAGGTAAGGGGGCTGCTCCTGAGAACCTCTGGATTGTGTCTAGGTGTCCAGGTGGCTGAGAATTCATAAGGAGGGGGATGGGGACAGAAGAGGCCCAGGCCCTCTAAGAACTAGCTATCTGCCAGGGAAATCAGCACCTTTGCTTCCTGATCTCATGTAGCCATTGGCCCTAATTGGCTACTGAAATTCAACCAGGCTCAAATGGGTTGGTCAGTATGTAATATATACTGTATTTCAAAGACTTGGTACAAAAAAGGAGACAAAATAGCTCACTAGTAATTTTTTTTAAAATATATTTAAAATACATTTAAGTCAGAGATGGTGGGGCAAGCCTGTAATCCCAGCATGCAGGAGATCAAGGCTGGAGGAGCCTGAGTTTGAGGCCAAGCCTGGTTCCATAGTGAGGTCACTATGATGCAGTTACATGGAAAGAGCTGCTTCATGAAGCCAAAAAAATAAAAAGCTTTTAAGATATATTAAGTGTATGCTTTAAGATATATAGGTCTTGGGGCTTGAACTCAGGACCTGGGCACTGTCCCTGGTTTTTGTTGCTCAAGGATGATGGCCTACCTCTTGAGCCACACTCCATTTTTGACTTTTTGGTGGTTAATTGGAGATTAAGAGTCTCACGGACTTTCCTGCCTGGGCTGGCTTTGAACTTCAGTCCTCAGGTCACAGCTTCCTGAGTAGCAGGGATTACAGGCTTGAGCCACCAGCACCAGGCCTGTTATTCCTCTATTAAAAAAATAGACACACACACAAACTAGCTGCGTACATTTACCGTGTGTAACATTATTTGGAGAAGGGAGCAGTCCTAGGCTTTGAGCTCAAGGCCTCACACTTATTAGGCCGGCACCACACTGCAGAGCCAGGCCTCCAGCTCTGCCCTTTGCTGGTTAAATGTGGGATTGAGGTCATGCTTCCCACCCAGGTGGCCCTGAGCTACAACCTCTGACTTCAGGCTTCAGAGTTGTTGCTGGGGTGACAGGCACATGCCTGTGTACCTATGTATGTGCATGTGCAAATACCTGTGCAAGCGCCTGCGTGAATATCTGTGTCCATGTGTGTCCATGTGTGAGTACCTGTGTGTGCCGGTGTGTGTGAGTTCTTGTGTAAGCCTGTGTATGTACCTGCATGAGTCCCTGGGCATGCCTGTGTGCGTGCGCATGCGTGCATACCTGCGTGCGTGTGTATGTGCGCCTGCGTGTGTATGTGGGCATGCGTGTGCCTGTGCGCATGCCCACGCGCGCTTGCCTGCATACCTGCATCTGTGTATGTGCGCATGCGCGTGTACGTGCGCATGCGTGCGTGGTCGCAGGTGCCGCCTGCTGAGCGCGCGCCTCCCGCCGCCCTGCCGGTCTGGGCCCAGGCCCCGCGGGCGTGGCGTTCGTCTCCTTCGCAAGCCTGGAGTCGGTTCTGGACACGCGCTTCTTCGGAGACCCTCGTGGCGGCGGGGCCGGCGCGAAGGTGACGCTGCGGATGAGCTCCCGCGTGGTCGGCGCCATCGTGACCGGGGAGAAGAAGGCGGGCTTGGCGGACCCCGTCATCTACACGCTGGAGAACGTCCAGGTGTGCGCAGCGGCCTCGCCCCGGGCCGGGATCCGGGGCTCCGCCCGCCCCACCAGGGGCCCCGTCCGCTCCATAGTTAACCACAGACGATCCAGCACACACCCAGGTACACGTGCACGCGTGCACACATTCAGGAACACGTGCACGTGCGCACACCCAGGTGCGTCTGCATGCAGCCCGTGCATGTGTCAGCACCCAGGCACGCGTGCACAGGTGCGCGTGCATGCACACACGCAGGCTCACATGCATACCATTACCCTTCCTCCACCCCCACCCCCACTCCCTTTTTGTGTGTGTGTCAGTCGTGGGGCTTGAACTCAGGGCCTGGACGCTGTTCCTGAGCTTTTCTGCTCAATGTTAGCAGCCCTCTACCACTTTGAGCCACAGCAGCACTTCCGGTTTTCTGGTGTTTAATTGGAGATAAGAACATTCTCATGCACTTTCTGCCTGGGCTGGCTTCTAACTGTGATCCTCAGATCTCAGCCTCCTGAGTAGCTAGGACGACAGGCGTGAGCCACCAGTGACAGACTACATAGCTCCTTATTTTTTTTTTTTAATGACACTTTTTCTTTTGAAACAATCATAGGTTTCAGTGTAAGAATCGTGCAGACACATCCTGCTCACCGTTTGTCTCCATGATGACCTCTTGAGAAATGCAGGGCCCTGCACTACCATCAGGGTACTAATGTCAGTCCAGCCGAGGGACAGGACATAACAGTCATCACTGCAACCTCTCCACAGAAGCTAGGAAGGTGGCTCAGTGGTAGAGCGCTTGCCTTGCATACATGAAGCCCTGGGTTCAATTCCTCAGCACCACAGAAACAAAAAGAAAAAAGCCAGAAGTGTCGCTGTGGCTCAAGTGGTAGAGCGCTAGCCTTGAGCTGAAGAGCTGAGGGATAGCGCCCAGGCCCAGAGTTTAGGCCCCACAACAGGACCCCCCCCCCAAAAAAAAAGAATTTTGTCTGTTTGTAACTGACACACCCACACAGAAACTCATAGAGGAGGGTCATGCTTCAGTTCCCATGTACCTCATTGTCCACTGTGGCATTAGTTACCTGTGGTCTCTAGAGGACATATCAGCCTCATGAAAGGGAAGATTTCCTCTAGTTCCATCGCAGAGTCCTGGGCTCTGGGCTTCTGGCTGGGGGAGGCAGAGCTTCAGGGCTGAAGGCTTGGAGGGAGGACAGCTGCTCTCCTGGGAGCAGAAAGAGAGTGGAGCAGCACCCTTCAAAGGCAGCCCCTCCATGGAAGTCCACCTCCTTCCCATAGCCTTCAATTATCTACCTGTCAGTACTTCTTCAGATATATTGTTCTGTGGAGGGGGTTGGGGACTGGAGGTTGAATTCAAGGCTGTGGGTGCTTTCCACTCAAGGCTGGCACTCTACCCCTTGAGCCACAGCTTCATTTTTGGCTTTTTGGTGTTAGTTGAAAATAAGAGTGACATGGACTTGCCTTCCTGGTCTGGCTTTGACCCCGATCCTCGGATCTCAGCCTCCTGAAGTAGCTAGGATTACAGGCGTGAGCCACCGGTACCTGGCAACATATTGTTATTTTGATGCATTCTCTCCTCCCTCCCCCAAAATTGTTTTCTGTGCATATTTTTTTCATACTCATTCTTCCGTTTCCAGTGATCTTGCTGGAGACAGAACCACTCCTCTTACCAGTGGACATATCCTGAGGGTATGCCGTAGGTGCCCAATAAAAGCACAGCGAGCTGGCTCATGCCTGCAATTAGCTACTCAGGAGGCTGATCATAGGATCGCAGTTCAAAGCCAATCTGGGCCGGAAAGTCCGTGAGACTCATAGCTCCAGTAATCCACCAGAAAACCGGAAGTAGCACTGTGGCTCAAATGATAGAGCACTTGCCTTGAGCAAAAGAAGCTCAGGGATGGTGCCCAGGCCCTGAGTTCAAGCCTCGTGACTCTCTCTCTCTCTCTCTCTCTCTCTCTCTCCTCTCTCTCTCTCACACACACAGGTGCAGGGAATGATCGAGCAAGTGAGTGAATTTGTGGCAGGCCTCATCAGCACAGACCACAGTACAGTGTCCCTAGAGAGTATCCCACATAGCTTAGCTCCATGTGGCTCTGTGTTTGGTCCCATTGACTGCATTGGAGCGAAGTTCTCAAGTGACTCTTTCTTTGGTACTTTCAGCCGAAGCAGAAGTCTGAGAGGCCCATCTGTGTTACCTGGAGCACTGACACAGAGGAGGGGAGGTGGACCCCAGCTGGCTGTGTGATTCTAGAAGCATCTGAGCTTCACACAGTCTGTAGCTGTCACCAGATGGCCAACTTGGCCATCATCATGGCTTCTGGGGAGCTCACGGTCAGTACTGTGATCTGTTCTCTGGCTCCGTGAGTATCTGATTTAAAATCTAGTGATTTTTTTTTTTTTGCAGCTAGTTTTAAGGGTTCAACTCAGGGCCCAATACTCTTGCTCAGCTTTTTTGCTTGTGATGGTGCTCTACACTTGCACCATGCCTCCAATCCAGCTTTGTGTTGGTTAACTGGAAAGAAGAGTCTAGTGGCCCAGGCTGGCTTTGAACTACAATCCTCGGCCTCCCAATTAGTTAGGATTACAGGTGTAAGCTGCCAAGGCCTAGCTCTCAGCTCATTTTACCTGCAGAGTGCTGCTATCTTCCTCTTTGTTCCCTTTCCAGACTCATGGGAGCATCTCATTGGAGAATCTAAATTACAGTCAGGATCTCCAAGGGACTCTGGGGAATGTAGTTTGTAGTTGTCCAGCCCATCAATACAAAGGGTGAAAGGGTGGATTTGTATGTAACACAATTGGAGCTGGGCACTGATAATTCATGCCTCTAATCCAAGGCCAGGAAAGTCCATGATATTCTTTTTTTGTTGTTGTTGTCTTTTGTGGGGCTAACAATTCAGGACCTGGGCACTGATCCTGAGCTCTTTTGCTCAAGGCTAGTACTCTACCACTTGAGCCACAGAACCACTTCCTGCTTTCTGGTAGTTAATTGGAAATAAGAGTTTCCATGGACTTTCCTGCCCAGGCTGGCTTTGAACCAGCCTCCTAAGTTACTAGGCTTGAGCCACCAGTGCCCAGCTTCCATGATATTCTTTTCTCCAAATTAACCACTAAAAAACTAGAATTGAACCTGTAGTTCACGTGGTAGAGTGCCAGCCTTGAGCGAAAAAGCTAAGCAAGAATGCAAGGCTGAGAGCTGAGGATCTGGGTTTGAAGCAAGCCTAGGAATATTCTTATGGCTAATTAACTAGAAAATGTCAGAAGTGGAACAATGGCTCTAGTGGTAGAGCACCAACCTTGAGCAAATGAGAGCCCGTGGCTCTGAGTTCGAGTGAGAGAGAGAGAGAGAGACTGGAGGGGATATCTAGTTCCTTGTAAGTGTCAGAGGGGAGATGAAGCCCCAACGCTCTCTTCCAGTTCAGGGAAGGCGGGGTGATTCTGGCTTCCGCCCGGGAGGAGTCAGGGTCTATTCTGAGAACGACAGGGAGTCTCTTTTCCACCAGATGGACTTCTCCTTGCACATCATCAGCCACGTGGGCACTGTCATCTCCCTGGTGTGCCTCATCCTGGCCATCGCCACTTTCCTGCTCTGCCGTACCCTTCGCAACCGTAACACCTACCTCCACCTGCACCTCTGCGTGTGTCTCTTCTTGGCCAAGATTCTCTTCCTGATGGGGATAGACAAGACCAACACCCAGGTCAGCATGGCTCGGTCTGTGCTCACTGACTTCGGTCACCTCCCCTGTCTTCCTCTGCTCATCCTCGCCCACCTCCCTCCCGCAGGGCCTTTGCACATGCTGGGCTTCATGCTCTCCTAACTGCTCACCTAGTTGACTTCTTGTGACAAGTGTCAGTTTATCTATTTATTTAGAATTTCTCCAATCATGTCATGAATTGTGGTGGTCCCCCCCTAGATTTTTTAAACCAGCCTCACAAGAGGCCCTTGGCTATATCTAGAGAGATTGGTGTTCTTGTGATGTATGAGGGTGTGATGTGTGTGTGGTGGTGGGAGGTGAGGGATGCAGCTAAACATCCTGCATTGGGATGAGAGAAGTAACACCAATAGGGCCTCCCTTGACATGAGACCTGCCACGGGTGAGTCTACTCCTTTCTATACTCCATTTTGTTTTTTTACTTTTTTGAGTTGTGTGTGTGAGTGTGTATGTGTGTGTGTGTGTGTGAGTGTGTGTGTGTGTGTGAGTGTGTGTGTGTGAGTGTGTGAGTGTGAGTGTGTGTGTGTGAGTGTGTGTGTGTGTATGTGTGTGTGTGTGTGTGTGTGTGTGTGTGTGTGTGCGCGCGTGCCAATCCTGGGCTTGAACTTGGCTTGGGGTGTTCTACCTTAGCTTTTTCAGTCAAGCGCTCTACCACTTGAGCCCGCAGCTCCACTTCCGGCTTTTGGGTAGCCAATTGGAGATATGAGTCTCATAGACTTTCCTGCCCAGGCTGGCTTCGAACATCAATCCTGAGATCTGAGCCTCCTGAGTAGCTCAGATTCCAGGCGAGAGCTACCAGTGCACTGCTATCAACCATTTTTAAATGTAGGGTTGCAAGTGTGGTTATTTGTGGCACCGGAAGTCACGTGTCCTGGGAAACCTTAAGGACAGATAAACACCAAAGGTGTTACCATCTAGGAATGGGCTTGCCTCTGATGGACAACCACTGCCTGTTTCTAGAAGAATCTGTGGCGTGAACTGATAGGCCACGTGTATGGGCGTGGGAAATCCCAGCATGGAAGTCCCCCTGCCAGCCCCCTGTCCCCAGTCCCGCTCCCAGGGGGAAGGCCCTGCCACGCTTCTCCTCCACAGACGGGCTGCGCCATCATCGCTGGGGTTCTGCACTACCTGTTCCTCGCTGCCTTCTCCTGGATGCTGGTGGAGGCGGTGATGCTCTTCCTCACGGTCAGGAACCTGAAGGTGGTGAATTACTTCAGCTCCCGTGATGTCAGGATGCTGTACCTCTGTGCCTTCGGCTATGGCTTCCCGGGACTCGTGGTTGCGGTCTCTGCCGGCATGCAGCCACAGGGTTATGGCATGCACAACCGGTGAGCAACAGCCTCTCTCTCTCTCTCTCCCTGGTGCAGAGTGAGAGCTGGGTGAACAAGAGAAAGGATTCTAGCGGTAGGACTGTGCCAGCCAGCTGGCTAGGCTCTTTAGTCTGCCCAGATGGCACTCTGTGGATGGGTGAGGAGAAGCTCTCCCAGGGAAGACAGCCCCAAGCCCTCCGGGAGGCCAAGGCCTAGAAGAAAGGCGGGAAGACACAAAGGCTCACAGCTCCAAACCCTGAGATCGAGAGGCATGACACTCCACGCTTCAGAAGCCAGAGACTTATGACTCTATGCACTGAGATAGGAGCTTCTGTGTGTGTGTGTGTGTGTGTATGTGTGTGTGTGTATACCTGTCCTGGGCCTTGAACTCAGGGGCTTTGGCACTGCCCATGAACTTTTTTATTTAAGGTTAGTACTCTACCTCTTGAGCCACAGCTCTACTTCTGGCTTTTTTAGTGTACCTTAGAGAAGATAACAGTCCCTCAGACTTTCCTGCCTGGCCTAACTTCCAACCATGATCTTCAGATCTCAGCCTCCTGAGTAGCCAGGATTATAGGTGTGAACCACCAGCACCCAGTTTGGAGTTTCTAGCTCTTAGCTTTAGCCATCAGTGTCCCAGGACCTCAGCAGCTATTGCAATCCCCAGCCTCTAGCAACAGTGTGTGGCAGTGACAGATGACAGCAGCTGCTGGTGTATGGTGCCTGCTGCCACTTTATCTTCTCGTGTTATCAGCTCAGCCAGTCATGGCAAAATATGCAAATGAAGATCTGTGTTTTGCACCAATCATGGTGCAGTATCTCATGCAAATGAAGGATCTTCTTAGCACCAATCACAGCACCAGTTCTCATGCAAATGAAGATCTGTGTTTTGCACCAATCACAGAACAGTCTCTCATGTAAATGAAGGTCTGTGTTTTGCACCAGTCACAGACTTTATACTTGATAGTCATTGAAAGCAGTAGTTCTTTGGCTTGGGTGAAGATGGCTGAAGAGTCACTAGAGTTCATTGAGGCTATGATGGCAAAATAGCCTGTGGAAGCTGTTTGGAGGCCCTGCAACAGGGCCTTCTGAAACTCAAACAACCACGGCTTCCATGGAACTGCCTGCAGGCATCTGTGCAAGGCAGCTAGCTTGGACTGAGGACAGTCCAGTTAGCTTCTTGGATGATATTACTTTGCCCAAGGCATCCACGTCACCAGGGAAGGGACTGACAGCTATAAAGCAGAGATTCTGTAAACCCTGGTTTCCAATATCTTAGGTAAATAAAAAGAAAACTATAAACATTAAAAGCAGTGTTTACAAGCTGGGCATTGGTAGTTCACCTCTGTAATCGTAGCTACTCAGGATGCTGAGATCTGAGGATTGTGGTTTGAAATCAGCCCAGACAGGAAAGTCTATGAGACTCACCAAAAACCTGGAAGTGGAGCTGTGTCTCAAGTGGTAAAGAGCCTTGAACACAAAAACTCAGGGACAATGTCTAGACCCTGAGTTCAAGCCCCAGGACAGCACCCAGGCTCTGAGTTCACGCCCCAGGACTAGTGCACACTCACACACACACACACACACACACACACACACATACACACAACTGTGCTTGCAATAAAGGCTTAACATTAACAGTGATTTTTTAAATAGTATTTAACATCACTCTAACGATTCTTAATTCCCACGCCTGTGTCCAGGGATAAAAGGATCCCTGTAATCTGTCTTCTAATGACTTAGGCATCTGAGATCTAAAGATCTCTGTTCAAATCCAGCCTGGGCAGAAAAAGTCCATGAGACTCTTATCTCCACTTGACCACCACCCCGCCCCCCCCCCCCAAAAAAAAGCCATAAGTAGAGCTGTGACTTAAGTGATAGAGTGCTAGCCATCAGCAAAAAAAAAAAAAGGAAGAGGGGCTGGGAAGGTGGCTCAGTGGTAGAGTGCTTGCCTTGCATGCATGAGGCCCTGGGTTCGATTCCCCAGCACCACATAAGCAAAAAGCCAGAAGTGGTGCTGTGGCCCAAGTGGTACAGCACTAGCCTTGAGCTGAAGAGCTGAGGGACAGTGCCCAGGCCCAGAGTTCAGGCCCACAACCAGACCCCCCCCCAAAAAAAGGAACAGCACCCTAAGACCCTGAGTTCAAGGGGAGGTAACAGTACCTCCCCTCAAAAAAAGAAAAGAAAAAGAAAAGTGACTTTTCTTCTGGATGTGACACCAGAGCTGATATTGGAGCGCTCTTCCTCCATCTGTGTGAGCAGGGAGGCTGGGAGCTCAGCCCCCAAGACATGAGCTCACGCCTCCCGTCTCTCTCTACAGCTGCTGGCTGAACACAGAAACTGGGTTCATCTGGAGCTTCCTAGGGCCGGTGTGTGTGATCATCATGGTAAGCAGCTTGTCTGGTGGAGCATGTCTCTGAAGGAGAAGCAAGGAGAGCTAAGAGAACAGCATGTGTCCACAGTGGGCCGAAGGCTGCTTGGTCCCCTCTAAAGTGCTCATCCTTATGATCCTTGAATCTTGAGATTTCCCAGTTAGGGTATAAACCCTCCAGCTTGTGGCTTTGCTTTAACGCTGACATGCAAGTGCCTTTGGGAAGAACCCATGTGTTATCCATATTTGATGCTTTGGGGAAAATGGGTCTGTCAGCCTTTCCCAGGTAGAGACATTGAATGAGAAAAAAAATCACAAGAGAAACTGCAGAGGTTCTGAGAACTCACGTGAGCTGAGGACTTGAAGACAGAGACCAAGGGAAGCCTGGGGAGGTCCGACGCCATTCCTTCCCTCCTTGCTGCTCATTTGTCCTTTGGTCTTGCGCAGCGACGTTTCTTCTGACAGTTGCTCATGGTGGCTTGCTTTCTTGTGCCTTTGCACTTCTTCCTTTGTATTTTTCCTTCTCAAATTCATTTTTGAGCATTTAAATCTTGGGGTTCCCTTCCAGGGAGGTCCAGGAGATGATTTGGGGGTTGGAAGGTGGCATTTGTTTCCTTTGTGGTGTTACAGCAAAGAGCAACATAAAGTTACAGTGTCTGAGTAGTTGCAGACCTCAGATTAAGAAACACACTAACCTGACCTCATTCAGCTCAGCTTCTTTCTTGCCAAAGTGTGTGTGTGTGTGTGTGTGTGTGTGTGTGTGTGTGTGTGTGTGTGTGTGTGTGTGTTTGTGTGTGTGATTGGGGGGGAGGGTACCAAGGCTTGAGCTCAGGGCCTGGATTCTGTCCCTGAGTTTTCCCACTCAAGGCTAGTGCCCTACTAATTGAGCCACAATGGCACTTCCATTTTCCCGGTGGTTCATTGGTGATAAGGGTCTCACAGACTTTCCTGCCTGGGAGCCATTGGGAGATCCCTGGTTTGGTTCTAAATGAGGGGAAGCATCGTGAAGGAATAAGACAAATACAATCCATGGGTGGGCAATTAAAGGTGATTTCTCCCAGGACTGGTTGGGGTACAGCAGCAAGGAGAGAGCCACTACCATCATGTGTGCATGGCCAAGTTTCAAAGTCAGGCAGAAGCATGGAGAAGCCTCACAGAAAAAGGAAAAGGGGCTCTCTGGGCAACCCTTCATTGGCACAGAGGGGCTGCAAGCAGGCCTCTTCAATGCGGGGCATCCTAGCTCTGGGGTGATGGCCTTTCCTGGGTTACCATCTGGCCTCCTGGCTTGGTTTCTAGAGACCAAGGATCAGGATTCTTTTAGCACAGATGGTCTGGGATGGTGGGTTTCTGTGTCCAGTCCCTGACTCCCATGCTCCACTTTGTAGATCAACACAGTGCTTCTAACGGGGACCATGTGGATCCTGAGGCAGAAGCTGTCCAGTGTCAATGCCGAAGTCTCCACGCTCAAAGACACCAGGTGCAGCCAGAGTCCTGTCCTGTGTTTTGCTCCTTTCTTTCTTTGCTTTTTTCTTTTCTTACTTTTTGTTTTTTTGTTTTTGTTGGTCGTGGGGCTTGAACTCAGGGCACAGGCGTTGTCTCTCAGCTCTTTCACTCAAGGCTAGCGTTCTACCATTTTGAGCCATAGCTCAATGAGCCACGGAGGCTCATTGGAGATAAGAGCCTCACGAATAGTCCTACTCGGGCTGGCTTTGAACCACAATCATCAGATCTCAGCCTCTTGAGTAGCTAGGATGACAGGTGTGAGCCACTGGCGCCCGGCTTGCTCATTTCTTTTCCTTCCTCCTGCGAATGTTTGCTGAGCACCTTTGGCATTGCCTGAGGCAGAGGCGGAAGGTGGGTGCAGAGAGGCACAGGGTCCCCAGGGAGAGCCTCCAGCACTGGCCCCATGGGTGCAGACCACGCCACATCCCCTCCAAGGCAGTTTTCTTCTCAGAAGCTTGCTTTCGCATTGCTTTTCTTGTTTATGTTCTTGTTTTTTAGGTTAGCGCTTGGGCTTGAACTCAGGGCCAGGATGCTCCTGAGTAGCTAGGATTGCAGGTGTGAATCACCACTGCCCAACCTAGCATTAATAATTGTAAGCAGCCAGTTTATTTATAACCAACCTAGTTTCTTTCTTTTCTCACTATATTGGGAGTAGACTTGATTTTTTTTTTTTTTTTTTTTGGTCGGTCATGGGGCCTGAACTCTGGGCCTGGGCGCTGTCCCTCAGCTCTTCAGCTCAAGGCTAGCGCTCTACCACTTGAGCCACAGCGCCACTTCCAGCTTTTTCTGTTTATGTGGTGCTGAGGAATTGAACCCAGGGCCTCATGCATGCAAGGCAAGCACTCTACCACTGAGCCACCTTCCCAGCCCTGGGAGTAGATTTGATGCTTCTTTAAAAAAAAAAGCCAGGCGCTGATGACTTATGCCTTTCACCCTAGCTGCCAAGGAAGCTGAGATCTGAAGATCATGGTTCAGAGCCAGCCAAGGCAAGAAAGTCTGTGGAACTCTGATCTCTAATTAATCACCAAAAAACTGGAAGTGGAGCTGTGGCTCAAGTGGTAGAGCACTTGCCTTGATCAAAAAAGAGCTCAGGGACAGCAACCAAGCCCTGAGTTAAAGACCCATAACCAACAAAAACAAAAAACCCATAAATATCAGGTTCATTTTTGAATCACTGCTTTTATTACTGCCTGCTCTGTCTCCTGTGAGTGATATTGGAAGTCACAACCCTAAGAGAAGAAAATGACCCCAAAAAGTACACAGGAGACCCCTATAAAACTCGGACGTACCAGTCTCAACACTTGAGCAACTTACAACACAGAAACACAAATATGGGAAAACAGAAAGGCCAGGCAACTCCCGCCATGCCTCAGATGGAACTCAAAGATGCTGAAATGGATGAAACACTGAACAAGGAATTTTTTTTTTGGGAGGGGGGTCCGGTCGTGGGGCCTGAACTCTGGGCCTGGGCGCTGTCCCTCAGCTCTTCAGCTCAAGGCTAGCGCTCTACCACTTGAGCCACAGCGCCACTTCCGGCCTTTTTTTTTTTTTGCTTATGTGGTGCTGAGGAATCAAACCCAGGGCCTCAGGCATGCAAGGCAAGCGCTCTACCACTGAGCCACTTTCTCAGCCCCTGAACAGGAATTTTTTTTTTATTCTAGGAACATTTTATTTTTTATACGTATTTTTTTAATTGTGAAAATACTATACAAAGGGGTTACAATTACACGAGCAAGATAATGAGTACATTTCTTATCAAGCATTGTAGCCCCCTCCTCTGTTTCCCCTTCCCATCCCATCCTCCCCCAGCCCCCCCTCTCAGCCCTCCCCCCAGCCCTCCCCCCCCACCAAAGTTGTAAAGTTCATTTTTGACATAACGACTTGTATGGCTCATTGTTGCAATGGGTCCACCTGTATCCCTATTTAAACGAGTTGTTTTTCCCTTCCCCTCCACAAATTATACCAACATCAAATACAGTGAAAGCAGGGGTTATACCATGGGGGGAGGGAGAACAAGGAATTTTTTAAAATATATTTTTAAAGTCATCTGTGACCTCAAAGGGGCCTCAAACATACAGAGGAAGGAAACAGGGATGCCAATTAACACCTGGATGTGAAAGTCACTGCCAAACTGATTTAACAACTATTTATTGAATTCTTATTGTTACGGCAGGCTCAAATGAAATACAGAAGGGGCAAAACAAAACAAAACAATACAAAGCATGAGTCAGTGGCCAGAAACTATTGTGAATATACTATGAATATAGACAGCAATAATATTTTAAACTATCATTAAAATACCACTATATGTTCAAAAAGAAATGAAGAGAGAGAGAGAGAAAGGAATAAAGAAAGAAGAAAGGAAAGAAGAAGAAAGAGAAAGGGGAAGAAAGCACCATGGGTGAGGAATTCAACAACAAAACTGAGATTCTGAACAAAGAATAAAAAAGTGGAGATGTTAGAAATGAAAACCTCAAAAGTCAAATAAAAGCAGATTAGAAAGCCTCACCAATAGATGGGATCAAGCACACTAATAACATCTGGGCTGGAGACTCCACTGAGGGGATTTTACAGCCAGACAGCAGTGAGTAAAGAATTGTGCAAGCAGGACAGGACTTTCAAGTCCTGTGTGTGAGGAAGCACCAGCCATGCCTCAGCTCCCTGGGGAGGAAGAAGGAGTCCAGATATAAACTAAACACAGAGAAACGTATCCAATGAAATTGTTATCAGAAAACACCACACATCTGGGGACAGATGGGGACTTCCCAGTCCAGGAAGCTTCAGCCTCAAAATAGACTTCACCAGAGACTAATCTTCAACTTTACGTTTGGTTTTTTTTCTTTGCCCCAGCATTGGGATTTGAACTCAGGGCTCACACTGTTCCCTTAACCTATTTGCTTAAGGCTGGCATTCTACCACTTGATCCCACAGCTCCACTTCCAACTTTTAGGTGATTAACTGGAGATAAGAGTCTCATGGACTTTCCTGCTTGGGCTGGCTTCGAATTTGGATCCTCAGAATCTCAGCCTCCTGGGCAGCTGGGATTTCAGGCATGAGCCACCAGTGTCTGGTTCTCTCCACATTATGTTATAAAGGCCAAGTCTACAGCACAAGGAAAGAACATTGAAAGGGGAAAGAGCAAAACATTAACATGTCAAGGCAAACTCATTCCACTTTGGCATCAGACCTCTCTGCAGAAACTGTAAAAGCCAGGAAGGCCTGGAATGGATTTCTGAAAGTCCTGAAGATACATAACAGCTCGCCCGGCAGAGGTACCCATGGTAGGATAAGGGAGCTATTGAGAGGCTAGGGGGTGCCAGCTGGAGGGGGCAACAGAGGATGGGGTGTAGAGGAGTAACATCATTGGTATGCACATATAGAAGAAACAAAGCAAGCCACTCCTGCAAGCAACAACAACAACAACAACCACATAGAGATCTCCTCTCTCTCCCCTCAGACTGGCTATCACCAAGAAAACAAAAAACAACATATGTTGGTGAGGCTGTGGGAAAAAAAATAAGAGCGGAAAGGAGACAGTCTATTATGTGCCCACTTGAAAATATCATAATGAATGGGCTGGGAAGGTGGCTCGGTGGTAGAGCGCTTGCCTTGCATGTCTGAGGCCCTGGGTTCGATTCCTCAGCACCACATAAGCAAAAAGAAAAAAGCCGGAAGTGGCGCTGTGGCTCAAGTGGTAGAGCGCTAGCCTTGAGCTGAAGAGCTGAGGGACAGCGCCCAGGCCCAGAGTTCAAGCCCCACGACCAGACCAAAAAAAAAAAAAGAAAAAGAAAATATCATAATGAAATCCCTTTCTATATGTACAATTTTTTTAAAAATCCAACACCAGACCTTGAACTTGATACCAGATACTTTTGCTCATTTGGCAGGCACCCTACCACCTGAGTCATACCTCCAGCCCCTCTTGTACAGTCAATATACACTGAAAATGTCAATCCAAGCAAAGCAGGAAACCTCAGAACTCAGGGGGCTATGGTAGGAAGATCTAGAGCCTGAGGCCATCCTTGTCTAGCTAACAAGACTCTGTCTTAAAAAACCAAAGTGTCAGGCGCCAGTGGCTCACACCTGTCATCCTAACTACTCAGGAGGCTGAGATCTGAGGGTCGCAGCTCAAAGTCAACCTGGACAGGAAAGTCCATGAGACTCTTATCTCCAATGAACGACTCAGAAAAGCTGGAAGTGACACTGTGGCTCAAGTGGTAGAGCACTAGCCTTGAGCGAAAGAGCTCAGAAAGTGTACAGTCACAGTGTACAGTCACAGCCGCTAACCACGCATGCACCCCCACCCCCACGCACCCGCTGCCTCTCCTCTCTGTCCGTGTTACTGCGTCACTGTACCGAGCAGCCCACATTCTTCCCCTCTGTCACCGCGGAGGAAGACACGATTGCACCATGCTGTACTTTGCATGACGCACAACTGGTTTTGTATCAGTCCTCGTGGCTGGCAGCAATGAACACAAATGTGTATTTTGTGCCAGCTGCTGTTCTGAGTCCTTGAGGGCCGTTGCATCTTGCCTCCAAGTGTGTGGTGCAGGTATCCTGTCATTACTCCTGTGCCAATTGAGGAAACTGAGGCAAGCTGGTCCCATGGCTCCTGCCTGCCATCCTAGCTACTCAGGAGGCTGAGATCTAAGGATCATGGTTCCAAGTCAGCCCGAGCAGGAAAATCTGTGAAATTATGATCCCCAATAAACTACTCAAAAAGCTGAAGTGGAGCTGTGGTTCAAGTAGTAGAGTGCTTACCTTGAGCCAGAAGGCTCAGGGACAGCACTCAGGCTCTGAGTTTGAGCCCCAGGACAGGCACACACACACACACACACACACACACACACACACACACAAAACAGGCAACCTAAGGTTATGAAACTTACAATGACTATGGAATTAGATTCCCTCATACTTTGTGTGTGTGTGTGTGTGTGTGTGTGTGTGTGTGTGCGCGTGCGCACGCACACGTACAGGCTTGTGCCAGTTTTAGGGCTTGAACTCAGGGCCTAGGTGCTATCTCTGAGTTGTTTTTTGTTTTTGTTTTTGTTTTTGGTCGTGAGGCTTGAACTCTGGGCCTGGGCGCTGTCCCTCAGCTCTTTACCTCAAGGCAAATGCTCTACCACTTGAGTCACAGCACCACTTCCGGTTTTCTGGTGGTTTATTGGAGATCAGAGTCTCATGGACTTTCCTGCCCAGGCTGGCTTTGAACTGCGATCCCCAGATCTCAGCCTCCTGAGTAGCTAGGATGACAGGTGCGAGCCACCAGCTCCCGGCTTCTCTGAGCTTTTTTTGATCAAGGCTAACAACACTCTACCTCTGTAACCACAGACAGTTCTACTTCCAGCTTTTGGAGTAGATAATTGGAGATGAGTCTCACAGACATTCCTGCCCCAGCTGGCTTAGAACCATGATCCTCAGATCTCAGCCTCCTGAGTAGTTAGCATTTACAGGGGAGAGCCACCAGGGCCCAGCTCAGTGCCTTCATATTTTGAACAAAGACACTCTGATTGAACAGTCTGGACTTACCCAAAATAGCATCTCATGACTCTCCTGTTACTTAAAAAAAATGATTTTATAATCTCTGTCTGACTCTCTGAATTAGTTGGTCTATTTTGGATATTTTGTATAAGTGAAGTCCCAAAATATGTAACCCTCTTTGGCTGTGTTTATTTAGCACCAAATTTTGTAAGGTTTATCTGTGTCTTAGCATGTGCTATTCTTTATTATGGCTAAGTTATATGCCATTGAGTGGGCATAGCACATTCTCTGCATCTTTCAGTCACCTCTGGATGTGTGTGTGTGTGTGTGTGTGTGTGTGTGTGTGTGTGTGTGTGTGTGTGTGTGTGTGTGTGTGTGTGTGTGTGTGTGTGTGTGTGTGTGTGTGTGTGTGTGGTGTCTGTTTTCACCTGAGGGAAAGTGGAGTAGGGAATGACTGCTAAATAGGTCCAGGATTTGTACATCTCCGTACCCAGTGCCGCAGGGGCCGCCTGCAGTCCCAGCTCCCCACCTCTAGGCTGGGAGACTTCCACCTTCTCCCTGTCCCCCCTTTTTGGCAGGCCACAAGCGTGCAGTGCCGGTGCTTCCAGGGCCCGGGCACGGGGACCAGCAGGTGCGTGCCAGCCCCCAGAACCGCTTGGTTTTGTTTTGTTTTTGTCTTCCAGATTGCTGACCTTCAAAGCTTTTGCCCAGATCTTCATCCTGGGCTGCTCTTGGATTCTGGGCATTTTCCAGATCGGCCCCGTGGCCAGTGTCATGGCATACCTCTTCACCATCACCAACAGCCTGCAGGGTGCCTTCATCTTCCTCATTCACTGTCTCCTCAACCGCCAGGTAGATGACTGCCACTGGCCTGCTCCTCCACCCCCTCCCCTCCCCCCACCCACTCCCCTTCACCTGTGAGCACCACCCACCCCCTCCTGGTGTCTCTGTCTCCAGGTGCGAGAGGAGTACAGGAGATGGATCACCAAGAAGAAGGAGCCCAGCTCCCAGTCCCAGACCTTGGGGGTCCAGCTGTCGTCCATGCCCTCTACAGCCAACACAGTGAGGGGGCCCGTGCATCTCTTCCCGAGTGCTGATGGGAAGAAAGGCCTGCTGCCCGGCGACAGACACATGGCCGGGGCCAGAGCCGCATGGGTGCTGGGTATCTCCACCTCAGCTCCCTGTGTGAGGGGCAGTGTGCAGGCTGGGAGAGCTCAGAGGTGTAGCTCAGTGGTCAAGGGAGCGCCGTGCCTATGCACAGCTCCATTCCCATCACCCTGAGAAAGCTCTGGGCTCTCGTTTGTCACTTAGCCAGCAGCCTGTGAGCTTTCCATTTATGTTATTTGCATGGTGCCCAAATGGATGCACAGCCCCAGACATCACCATTAGGTTCCAGACGAGCAAAGAGAGATAGGGTGGGAACAGAGACCACACCTTGCATGGACCAAACATAGCTGCAAAGGATGCTGAGCAAAACACGTGTTGACTTTGTATGTCTGGACAAAGAGGTGTCAGGAAAATAGGCTGGAGACAGCTTCTGGGTTGGCCAGCGGGCCTGCCACACTCAGAACAATTACTTTTAAACTTTTTTTTTTTATGTTTATGCTCACTGGTGGCTCATGCCTGTGATGTGATCTTACCTACTCAGGAGGCTGAGATATGAGGATTGCAGTTCAAAGCCAGTCCAGGCAGCAAAGTCCACGAGACTCTTATCTCCAGTTAACCACCAAAAAACTAGAAGTGGTGCTCAAGTGCCAGCTTTGAGTGAAAAAAAGCTCAGGCCCTGAGTTCAAGTCTTCAGGACAAGCATAAAAACACGCTTCACTTTTTTTTTTTTTTTTTGCCAGTCCTGGGCTTGAACTCAGGGTCGGGCACTGTCCCTGAGCTTCTTTTGCTCAAGGCTAGCACTCTACCACTTGAGCCACAGCGCCCTTTCTGGCCTTTTCTGTTTATGTGGTACTGAGGAATCGAATCCAGGGCTTCATGGATGCTAGGCAAGCACTCTACTACTGAGCCACCTTCCCAGCTCATGCTTCACTTTTTAGGACTTTGTTGCTATATTTCGCTCAGTGTGTTTATGTTTCTGTAGATGTTTGAAATCCCAGTTTTATTTGTGATGAGTCAGATGAGGAAGAAATTCTCGTTTCTGTCTTCCAGGACTAAAGCTTTGCTTTCCATACTCAGTGAGCAGCACTGGAGCGTGTTAAGTGCCTGTGGGTCCTTCCTTGAAGATCTTCTCTCCTTGGCGTAGTGTGCAAATTCAGAATGTGCCAACTTGAACCTCTGGGAATCCAGAGTACGGATGGGCGTCCATTTCCCAATGCTTTGTGCAACTGTTCCGAGCAATACTTTTATCCTCTGTGCTTTGCAGTGCTCTGAATTTCCAGAGCTCTAGGAAATAACAACTTTCAGTCCAGTGTCAGATCTGAGGGCCTGTGGCTACCATTTTATGTCCTGTGCTCCAAGCGGAAGCCCCTGGCATGGGTTGGGTACAGAATAGCTTGCAATAAATGGTTTTCCATCCATCTGAATGATTTAAACCAAGACAAATTCGCTTCCTGCTTTACAAAACAAGTCACACCTCATGCCAGTGGCTCACACCTGTAATCCTAGCTGCTCAGGAGGCTGACATCTGAGGATTGCAGTTTGAAGCCAGACTGGGCACGAAAAGAGCTGGAAGTAGAACTGTGGCTCAAATGATATAGCACCAGCTTTGAGCACAAAAGATCAAGAACAGTGTCCAGGCCCTGAGTTCAAGCCCCAGAACCAGCACCAAAACAACAACGAACACAGCAACAACAAACAAGCTGTGTCAACTGAGATTAACCCAACTGAAAAACACACAAAAAAAACACAAGTCTAGACTAAAGATCCAGACCAGAAACTTACCCAGAAACTCTTGTGACTTGGTAAAGATTCTCAGCCTACCTTCCTTCCAATCTTGAATGCCAGGGAGGGAAGAAGGAGGTGACCAATTTAAATGTGTATGTCCTCCTTTCCAAGAATACTCTAGAAACCCCTCTTTCCTTAGAGTGTCACCCATCAACCGGCCACATAAGCTTTTCTAGCAGACCAAACCTGCCATCACATCTTCCAGAGTTGTAACCCAAACCTGAATTTTATCAAGATGCACACGATGTTCTAAAACATTCTACAAGTTATGTTAACTTTTATTTGTAAAGACTTGCTATGGGTCTAAAATAAGACTTTTGGGGGGAGTTTTCTGGGCTGCTGAGAAGAATGTGGATTCTGTGGCCATTGCGTGGAAAATTCTGTGCTTGTTGGTTAAGTCCGTGTGGTGCATACAGTAACTGGCTTTTCAACAGTAACTGGCTCAGCTGGGGAGAAAAGAAGAGTCATGAATCCATTTTGCATCTATTCACTCATCTCCCCATCCACTCATTCATCTATCCATCCAACTATCCACTCATCCATCCTCATCCATCCACCCACCCATCTCCCCATCCACTCACCCATTCATCATCTACCCATTTAACTACCCACCTACCCTTCCATCCATCCATCCACACATCCATCCATCCACCCACCAATTAAACCCCTCCACCCATCTATCCATCCATCAAGTCATCCATCTACCCATCCATTCACCCATTCATCATCTATCCATCCAACTACCCACCCACCCATCCATCAGTCCACATATCCATCAGTATACCCACTAATTGGACCCCCCATCCATCCATTATCCATCCATCTACCCATACATCCATCTGTCCATCCATACATCCACCTATTCACCCATTCACCATCCACCCATCTATCCAACCATCCATTTACCCAACCATCCATCCATCTACCCATCTACTCATCTACCCAAGTCCATCATCTGTCTATCCATCATTAATCTACCCACCCAGCCATCCATCCACCCACCTATCCATCCATCCATTGGTCTATCCATCATCATCCATCTGTCCATCCTTTACCATTCATCCATACATGCATGCATACATCACCCAGGGTGCTGAAGTGGATGCCAGGCAATGGCTCTATCTACCACTGAGTGACTCCACCTGACCTGTACTGAACCTAGAATCATCCCTGCCTTTCTGGGCCCTGCTGGGACTCACGCATGATGTTTCCAAAGTGAACAAAGATAAACATTTCATGTAGGCCTGGGGCAGTATGACCTGAAATCACTCTGCTACTTGAGCCACTGGAGCTAAGAATCTCACAGACTTTCCTGCCTGCCCTGGCTTCAGACCTTGATCTTCAGATCTCAGCTTCCCGAGTGGCTGGGATGACAAGCATGAGCCACCATGTCTGGCAAGAAACAATTCTTTATAAACACTGGCAAAAGGGAAGCGGCATTTGAGTGTTGTGCTTTGTGAGTCTACACCCAAAACAGGGTAGTTTTTCCTCTTTTTTTTTTTTCTCCTGTGGTAGCTGATAAAGATTGGCTTGTGGTTAGACTTAGAGGCAGCTCCTTGTTTGTGTAGGTGACTCTAAGCAGAAGCATCTGGGCCAAGTCAAATGAGTTAGATGAGGAGGGTGAGTGAGAGGAGTGTTTATTAAGTGGGTGCCAGAGTCCAGGAAATCAATAAGGGATAATGGGGACTCTGTGGTTGGCATGGGGGTGTATTATCACACCTTGGTCTAAAGAGGAAAGGGAAGGGAGGATTGCTGGAACCTGGCAGAGGCTTTAGCCTGCAGAAGTAGAAGCCTGCCACTGATCACAAGCGTAGTTTCTACAGAGGGAAATAAATATTTCCTTTCTTTTTTGTCAGTCATGGAACTTGAACTTGGGGCCTGGACCCTGTCTCTGAGCTCTTTCCCCTCAAGGCTAGTGCTCTACCACTTTGAGCCACAGCCTTATACCTGGCTTTTTGGTGGTTCATTGGAGATAAGAGTCTCAAGGACTTTCCTGCCCAGGCTAGCTTCCAACCTCGATCCTCAGATCTCAGCCTCCTGAGTAGCTGGGACTACAGGCGTGAGCCACAGGTGCCCGGCTTCAAATTACTTTTTTAGTGCAATCCTGCACTATTTTAAATTACTCTAGCAAAAAGAGGACTAGTGATCCTGGCACCGGTGGCTCACACCTGTCCTCCTGGCTACTCAGGAGGCTGAGACCTGAGGGTCATGGTTCAAAGTCAGCCTGGGTAGGAAAGTCTATAAAATTCTTCTCTCCACTAAATGACAACAGTTAGAAATGGAGCTGGGGCTTATGTGGTAGAGCACTAAAAGCTAAGGGACAGTACCCAGGCCCAGAGTTGAAGCCCCCACACCGGAAAAAGAAAAAAAAAGAGAAGTAGTGGACATTGCATTATAGGCACACACCCTAATGCACAGCCCAGCCCTTGTGCCAGCCCCAAGAGATTCCCTGAGATGCTGAGTTGCAAGATAAGTGAAGATGTACTTCCCCTTTAGTTAGCACTGAAGAGGCACCAGGCTGAGGAGAGGCTAAGTCTTCGGCACCTTGGGGTAAGTGCCTGTGCGTTAGTAACTCCACACCCTGCACGGAAGGTGTTTTGCTTGGGTGTTTGAGTTGGGAAAGAAATATCCTAGCTTTAAAGAAAATTTCCAGGAGATGTTCCTTTTCCTGGCCCGGTGGCTTTATTTTTCTTGAAAGTCTGCTGGATGGGCATCGAGCCTGTGTTTGCTTTTCCATGTCTGTGTGTGAGGGAATGGGGGTGCTGCTGTGTGGGTGATATGTTGTGGGGTGCTTTAAGCAGGTGCTAACATGATAAAGCTTTAAGAAGAAAAGTCTAGTGCCCAGCACTGTGGCTCATGCCTGTAAATCCTAAGCTCCTCAGGAGGCTGGGATCTGAGGATCACAGTTCAAAGCCAACCCAGACAGGAAAGTTCATGAGACTCTTGTCTCCAATGAACCAGCAGAAAAGCTAGAAGTGGAGCTGTGGCTTAAGCGATCAGGCACTAGCCTTGATTGGAAAAGCACCCAGGCCCTGAGCTCAAGCCTTGGTACCAGCACACAGAGAGAGACAGAGACAGAGACAGAGACACAGAGACACACATACAGAGAGAAATACCTATAGCAAAGCCTTGATGTAAATCCAGGACTGTAACATACCATGCACAGAACGCAGAAGAGCAGCTTATGCATCGCATCATCTTATACTTCTTCCCTTCCTCCATCACTCATCTTTCTTCCCATTCACCTCATGTGACGTCCCAGATGGAAGGAAAGAGGATTGTGGGAGAGACACTAAGTGGGCACTGAGCCCAGACTTCAGCCCCAGAACTGTCTCCAGGCCGGGGGAAGCACGAGCCAAGGTCCTGGAGCACCCCTTCTGTATCCATCCCTGTGCCTGCTAAGAGTTTTCTGACCTAGGCTGGGCCAGGGGCTCATCCTAACCAAGACCTTGAACTCCAGCCTGCCTAGTCTCCAGGACCAGGGGTCCCAGTCAGCAATGAGGAAAGAAGCCATGACCCTCCCGAACATGGCGCAGTAAGCCAAGATCGCTCTGAAGCCGGGTAGGGTCTGTTCTGGGGTTTGTCCTGAGGCAGCTTGTGGGTCTGTGGCAGGTGGAGGCCGCATGGTTCCAGCCTTCTGACACCGGGATGGGGTGCACATCCTTCAGGATGGAGCTCCATGTGGACAGGGGGTGGTGTTGAGGTGCTGCTGTTTTCCATGCACAGGTCACCGTCCTTCTCCACATCAGGGACAATTGGTGACTTCTTTCAGGGCATCAGCTGGGCAGGAGAGGCTGTTCATGTGTCTGAGAGAGAATTATGAGCCCTGAGTGTGTTCAAAGGCTGCCTTCCTGTATGTGCATGTGAGGTGTACCAAGACAGATTTGCAGAGCATGTTATCTTCGTTTAATACACCCTGGAAATTTGAACCTTGTGTGTGTGTGTGTGTGTGTGTGTGTGTGTGTGTCCTGGGATTTGAACTCAGGGTTCCGGTGCGGTGCTGTTCCTTAGCTTTTTTAATCAAGGCTAGTACTCTACCACTTGAGACATAGCTCCACTTCCAGTTTTTTGCTGGCTAATTGGAGAGGAGAGGCTCATGGACTCTCCTATCCAGGTTAGATTTGAACCACAGTCCTCTGATTGCAGAGTAGCTAGGATTACAGGTATGAGCTTGGAAATGTGATGGCAAATCCCACTACCTAAATTATACCCATCAAGCAAATACTTGCCACAGTGTTGTTGTGGCTGTCGTAGTTTAAACTCTTTGAAGGGTTGGAGGCTTGGTTCAGGTGGTAGAGTGTCAGCCAATGAGCAAAAGCATCAGATACTGAATCTGAGTTCTAGTCTTGGACCAAAAAAAAAAATCTTTGAAAGGCACTTTTACAGTGGCATGGGATGCTTCTGTTATTTTTTCCTTTAGATGTGGATTTGGGGAGGGGGATATAAAGGACCTTCATTTGGTTCAGAATCAAAGCAGGTGGTTGAATGTAAAGTTTTTCTACCCTCTCATGTTTTTCCAGCCACTCATATTTTAAGGCAAGTAATGTCATGAATTTCTTGGGAATATTTACATTATGAAAATCTAGATAGGTGGTGTGTTACTACTCTGCTGGCTAGGTTCTTGTTCCTCTGTTGGAGTCGAACTCCTGAGCAGATAGCTCAAAGCTCTGCTAGTCCTGCCTTGCCCAGGCCCAGACCTGTGCAAGCTGGGGCACTAGGCTGGCACCCAGAGCCTCACAGCTCAAACCCGAAGAGCCGCAGGCTGTGTGGCTCCAGGGGGAGAAGGCCACATCTTCCAGCTGTGTGTGTGCAGGCTGGGAGCTTAGCACCTCTGGGCTTTTGTCACCAATGGCTCCAACCTTTGTAACCTTGGCTTCCTGCATCAGTGAGTGGCAGCCCTGGGGAGTCCCCAAGAGTGTCACAGCTTCTGGGAGGGTGCAGGTGTAGGGACCCACAGCTCTGACACTAGCCAGTGTGGTGGCTCTTGAGTCAAGGGCTTGGAAGCCTCCTGGAACTCATCCACTGACTGGGTCCCACAGTTGCTCATCTCCAGCATTTGACACCCGTTGTCTCCTCTGCCAACTCTGCTCTCTTTGCCCAGTCACTTCTTGGTACTCTCCGGCCAACCTCATGCCATCAGCACTTCAGGACGGAGTTTGTGGACTGAATCACCTGGTTAGGTAGCTGGGAGGGGCACAGGAAAGGTTGTTTGTGCCAATCATGGCAGAGCCTTTCATGCCAATGAAGGATTGTGCTCCCACCAATCACGGAAGAGCCCTTCACGCAAATGGAGGACTGTGTTTGTTTGTACCAATCATAGCAGAACCCTTTATGCAAATGAAGGCTGTGTCTGCACCAATCATAGCAGGGCCCTTCATCCAAATGAAGAACTGTGCTTGCACCAATCTTAGCAGAGCTCTTCGTGCAAATGAAGAATTGTGTTTGCACCAATCATGGCTCAGCTTTTCATGTAAATGAAGGATCTTATTTTCACCAATCAGAGGCCTTCTCGTGGGCCATCAGGTGAAGTACTTCTCTGGCTTGAGTGAAACAGGCTACAGGATCATCAAGAGTTCTGCTAGAATCTTGCTTAGAATACAAGTTCTCAAGGCCCATACGGGTGCAGGCTGTGGAACAGGTCTTAACCCCTGGTTGTGGAGGTCCTCTGCAGCTGCTGGAATGTCCTCAATGTTTCTAGAACAGCTGGGCTGCCACAAGGCAAGTCTAGCTTGATGCCAGTACAGTGACTGTTTCCTCACAGCTCCTCTTTCAACCATGCCAGACACCAGGGAAAAGCTGCTCTTTGTCTGTCTCTGTCTGTCTGTCTGTCTCTGTCTCTGTCTCTGTCTCTCTGTCTCTCTGTCTCTCCCTGTCTCTGTGTCTCTATCTCTGTCTCTATCTCTGTCTCTATCTCTGTCTCTCTGTCTCTGTCTCTCTGTCTCTCTCTCTCTCTCTCTCCATAATAGGAATTGAACCCAGGTCTTTGCACATGCTAGTCAAGCATTCTACCAATTGAGTAAGGCCTTCAACCATGTTGTTTTTGTATTTTACTTTTGAGATACCATCTTGCTAACTCTGTCCAAATTGGTCTTACATTTGCTATCCTCTTGCCTCTGGGAGACAAAAGAAACATGTGTTCAAGACTACCTATTGCATACCTTGGTGACACAGGTGATGATAATATACTGTGACTTTTAAACTTCCAAAAGAGCTCGTCAGAAAAAAAGGATAAATTTACAAGATGGATATGTTCTTTGTTTTTATTTGCTTATCTTCCCATGGAATCACACACCAAGACATCCCACTGGACTTCACAAATACAAATGTGATGGTCAGTGACAAAATGGGAAGCAAATAAATAATAGGAGAGGGGAAAAATAATATCTGGATGGTCTGTGCAGGGGAATTTTCTACGGTGTGGATTTTGCTAAGTGCAATAGACCAGGATTTTAAATTCCAGGGACAGAGGGAGGGAGGACAGACGGACTTGTTTATCATTTGCTAACTGGAACCCTTGCTTCTGAGGACTTATTGGGAGAGAGATGAAAAGAGTTACACCGGACACCTGGCTTCTACATATTGCCACTATCTGCATTTTGTTTCATCTTTCCAGGTCTGCTGAAGAGAGACTGTCGGCTTTGTGTTCCGGTGTCTCTGAACTATGGGAAGCTGGTGCCTACCCATGCTCTCAGGTAAGTGAAACACAAGATTTGAATCTTGATCCTCAGATCTCAACCACCTGAATAGCTGGATTACAGACATGAACCACCAGCGCTCAGTTCACTAGAAATTTCTTCCTACCTCTCTCAGTCCTTTTGTTTTATTTTGCCGTTCTTCCTCCTTAGCTTTTTCTCCTTCCCTCTCCCATCTTTACAGTCCATGGATGAGAGAAAATATTCAATTCTTGTCAGTATGGGACTGGCTTACTTCATTTAATGTGGTGATTTCCACTTCCTTGATTTTCTTGCAGATGGCATGGCTTCATTTTTCATTGTGGCTAACTAATATTCCATTTTTGCCTATAAATCACATAATCATTTATTGACCTGGTTGTGAGCATCTACTCTCCTCCTGGAATCAGGGCTGTTGTGAATAAGGATGCGATAAACATGTGTACAAGATGCTGACTTTGATTCTTCTTTTTAAAAAATATGCCCAGGAAGTGGTTTGGTTAGATCATGTGAAAATATTATTGTTAATTTTTTGAGGAACTTCTAGGATAATTTCCATAGTGGGCAGACAGACTTCCGTTCCCACCAGTAGTGAAGATGCACACACATAACCTCATCATATGATTTCTTCGTTATTTTCTTGATGGCGGCCATTCCGTGTGAGGTGAACTGGAATCACAAGGTTGCTTTGATTTGTGTTTCCTTTTTTTTTTTTTTCTTTTGGCTAGTTGTGGGGCTTGAACTCTGGGCCTGGGCATTGCCCCTCAGCTCTTCAGCTCAAGGTGAGTGTTCTACCACTTGAGCCACAGTGCCACTTCCAATTTTCTGGTGGTTAATTGGAGATAAGAGTCTCATGGACTTTCCTGCTTTGAACTGCAATTGTCAGATCTCAGCTTCCTTAGTACCTAGGATGACAGGCATGAGCCACTGGCACCTGGCTTTTGTGTTTCCTTTACAGTTAAGAATGCTGGTATTGCTGGATCCTTGAGTAGTTCTAAGTTTACTTTTCTTCTTCCTCTTCTTCCTCTTCCTCTTCCTCTTCCTCTTCCTCTTCTTCTTCTTCTTCTTCTTCTTCTTCTTCTTCTCCTTCTTCTTCTTCTTCTTCTTCTCCTTCTTCTTCTTCTTCTTCTTCTTCTTCTTCTCCTTTCTTCTTCTTCCTTTTGAATGTCCATGCTGCCTTTCATTTATATTCCTCCAAACAGTGTAATACTAGGGCTCTCCTCCACCCCATCCCCACAATCCCCCCATCCCCACCGCATTTGCTGTTACTCATATTCTTGATGTTGGCCAAGCTTACCATGGATGATATGGAATCTCAATGTTATTTGGACTTGCATTTCATTTATGGCTAAGGATGTTGAATACTTTTCCATGTGTCTATTGACTATTTTTACTTATTTTGAGAAGTCTCTATTTCCTTTGCTTATTTATTAATTGAGAGTTATTGATTTTTGGGGGGTTAGTTTATTGAGCTCCTTGTATATTCTAGATATTAAGCCCTTGTCAGATTCATAACTAGCAAAATAGGTAGGTAGATAGATAGATAGATAGATAGATAGAGAGAGAGAGAGAGAGAGAGATTTTCTCCCATTCTGTAGGACTGTTTTTATAGCTTAGTAACTATGTCCTTCACTGTGCAGAAACTTTTGAGCTTGGTACAGTCCCATTGATTGATTCTGTCCCCAAGTTGATGAGCACATTGGATGATAACATCTTGATTGTATCCCATAAAATATATCATTGAAATGAGTTTTTTTTAATTTGTGTGTGTGTGTGTGTGTGTGTGTGTGTGTGTGTGTGTGTGTCCTGGGGCTTGAAATCAGGGCCTGGGCATTGTGCCTGAGCTTTTGTGCTCAAGGCTAGTGCTCTATCACTTGAGCCACAGCATCACTTTTGGCTTTTTGTGTGTGTGTGTGTGTGTGGTCAATTGGAGATAAAAGTCTCACAGACGTTCCTGCCCAGGCTGGCTTTGAATCGTAATCCTCAGATCTGTGAGCCGCAGGCACTCAGCTCTTACTTGTTTGTTGTTGTTGTTGTTTTCTAATGTGGCCACTAAGAAATGTTAAGTAACCCAGTAGCTTGCGTTCTATTCTACTGGTGAATAGGAGGTTACAGGCCTAGACTGACAGCCATTGGGGAATACCAAGAGGAGACTTCCAGCCTGGCTTTGGGGGCTAGCTAGTTTGGGAGGATCTGCAGCTAAGGTGGTGGATTTTCAGAAGTTGGATCACATAACAATAGTCAGACCTATCTCCTGTGCACCCCGAGCACATAACCCACTCCTGGTGCTCATAGCCTGCCTGGAGACTCTGTGAGGAAGCTGGTACATGTGCCAATAGCTCTTTTCTATGTATGGGGGGGGAAGGGCGGGGAGAAGCCCTCAGCTCGCCCCGGGGGAGTCCCAGGGGGAGCTTCACATGACCACTTCCTCCTCTTTGTCTTTTCTCCCAGCCCTTGGCGTCTTGCTGGCTGTGTCAGGATGGGAAGTAACAAATTCTAAAGGTAAGTCTGTCTACTCATGGCCAAACACCAAGGGAAAGGAAGTGGGGCTATAGGACTTTGAGGGGGGAAAGGGGACAGGGAGAAGGGAAGAATGTCTTTTCTTTTTTTCTTTTTCTTTTTTTTTATCGCTCATGGGGCTTGAACTCTGGGCCTGGGCGCTGTCCCTGAGCTCTTCAGCTCAAGGCATGTATGTACTCTGCCACTTGAGCCACAGCAGCCACTTCCGGCCTTTTCTGCTTATGTGGTGCTGAGGAATCAAACCCAGGGCCTCATGAATGCCAGTCAAGCACTCTACCACTGAGCCACCTTCTCAGCCCAGAAGAATGTCTTCTCAAGTGAGAGAGGACTGAGCCTCGGGCACTTTCTTGTGTTCTTTGGATAATGGATGTTTCCTGTGCTCCGTCCTCACCACCCATCACCATCATTTTCAGCACCAGCACCAATAGCACTTGCAAATAGTTAGGGTGGTGCTCGACCACTTGAGCCACACACCTCCACTTCTGGCTTTTTGGTGGTTCATTTGGTGGACTTTCCTGCCTGGACTGATCTTGAACCCCAAATCCTTAGCTCCCAGCCTCCTGAGTAGCTAGGGGTGAGTAGGCATGAACCTCGGGTACCCAGCTGTCAGGGATCATTTCTTGGACAAATGAATGAGCAAATGAACAAATAGACCTGTGTTCTGTGCAGCTCCCTGTCCCCACTGCCATGTCTACGCTGACTGCCACAACACCACCCACTGCATCTGTAAGCCTGGATTCCAGCCCACATCTGGCCCAGGCCCCTTCATCTGGCCCCAGGAGGCATGCGAAGGTAAGAATGCCACTCAGTAGAAGAAGCCATCATGGCGTGGTGTGTGTGTGTGTGTGTGTGTAAAACACACCCCCTCCCCACAGCCTCCAGAGGATCAGAGGGCCTCAGAAGATACTTCAAGAGGTACAGCAATTAGTCAGGTATATTTTTTCCCCCAATCCTGGGGCTTGAACTCAGGGTTTAAGCACCGTTCCTGAGCTTCTTTGTGCTCAAGGCAAGCAATCTACCATTTGACCCACATAGCACCACTTGCAGCTTTTTCTGAATAGTTTTTTGGAGATAAGAGTCTCACAGACTTTCCTGTCTGGGTTGGCTTTGAACTGGGATCCTCAAATCTCAGCCTCCTGAGTAGCTAGGATGACCGGCATAAGTCATTGGCGCCTGGCTTAGCCGTCTCCGTGTTTGGATAGAAAGAGGAAGCATGCGGCATTGGCCCAGAGCAGAGTCAGTCTGTGGGTTTCCTTTCTTGAACCTCAACTCTTGCCCATTAGCTGCTAAACCAAGAGAGACTCAGAGCACAGATTCTCTGAGCCAGGACATAAGGGATATGGTCCTTCTGTGTCTCATGACATATTTTCTACTTTATTCCACTACCAATCCCTGGGTGTTGGTTTATGTTTTGTTGTTCTGTTTTATTTTGTTTTGTTTTTGTGCAAGTCCTAGGACTTGAACTCAGGGCTTAGGTTCTATCCCTGAGCTTGTTTGCTCAATGCTCCAACTCTACCACTTGAGTCACAGCTCCACTTCCTACTTCATAGTGACTCATTGGAGGTGAGTCTCACAGACTTTCCTGCCAGGGCTGACTTTGAACCCCTGACCCTCAGATCTCAGCCTCCTGAATAGCTGGGATGAAAAACCACTGGCACCTGTCAAGCTCCATACTTAGATAAACCATGTTGGGCCATGAGAACTCTGTGGAGAAGAGGACATGGCACAGTTCTTGAAGAGTAAGCGTAGCTTTCTTCTTGCCCGTCAGACATCGATGAGTGCCAGACGCAGCAGGTGCGCTGCAGGAAAAAATCTTACTGCAAGAACAAGATTGGGAGCTACCTCTGCAGCTGCGTGGTAGCGATGCCTTGGCTCAACTGGGTGGCCAGCATAATTGACATCGAACATCCACAGTGTTACAGTAAGCATCTCCAAATACGCCTTCCATCATGAAAGAAAAGGGGGGGAAGGGAGGCACAGACTTTGGGGTAGAAATTCCTCTGGGCCCACTGGTATGATAAGTTTGAGTTCTCCTAAAAAATAAGTATAATAACTCTTTTAAAGAAAAAAAAAAAGGCCAGGCACCAGTGGCTCATGCCTGTCATCCTAGCTACTCAGGAGGCTGAGATCTGAGGATCATGGTTCAAGGCCAGCCCGGGCAAGAAAGTCTGTGATACTCTTATCTCCAATAAACCACCAGAAAACTGGAAGTGGTGCTGTGGCTCAAGTGGTAGAGCACTCGCCTTGAGCCGAAAAGCTGAGGGACAGTGCCCAGGCTCACCGTTCAAATCCCATGACCAACAAAAAGAAAAAAAAAAGAGGGTAAAGCTAGGTGCTAGTGGCTCAAACCTGTCATCCTAAATTCTCAGGAGGCTGAGATCTGAGGATCGTAGTTCAAAGCCAGCCTGGGCAGAAAAGTCTATGAGACTCTTATGTCCAATGAACCGCCAGAAAACCGGAAGTGGCACTGTGGCTCAAGTGGTAGAGCACTGGCCTTGAGCAAAAGAGCTCAGGAACAGCAACCAGGCCCTGAGTTCAAGCCCCAGGATGGGCACCCCTCAAAAAAAGGGGAAGTAGGAGACCATAGCTGGTGACAGCAACACCAGCCTCAAGGCAGAGTAAGAGAGCAGAGCTGTGTCCCAGCCTCTGTCCCTCACGGCTGTGCTGTCCCCCGTCTTTCCCAGAGCGAGGCTGTCGAAACCAAACCGCCTCGCAAGTCCCAGCTCTGCACACTCCTTGGGAATGCATGGCTGCCTTACAAGTCACTCTCCTTCCATTCCAAAAGGACTGGCTTCATATTCTTCTGAACTTGGTTTATTTAATGGGTGTGTATGTTGGTCCTGAGGCTTAAACTTAAAGCTTGGATGCTGTCCCTGAACTTTTCTGCTTCAGGCTGGCGTTCAACTACTTGAGGCACAGCATCACTTCTGGCTTTTTTTGTAGTTCATTGGAGATAAGAGTCTCATGGAATTTCCTGCCCAGGCTGGCTTTGAACTCTTGAGCCTCCAGATCTCAGCCTCCTGAGTAGCTAGGATGACAGGCGTGAGCTACCCGAGCCCAGCTCACAATTCAGCTTCTTGGAAGCAAGTGCATGGAAGCCCTGGACTCGCCGCTGGTGGCTCAGCAGAGCTAGCCTCCATTTCCTAGGGACGTGAGCATCTCTGCTTTGCTCCAGTGTCGCACAGAGCTGGGAATGGCTAGAGGGTTTGAAGGGGAAGCTGCAGGATCACAGACTCAACATGCTGTCCCCTTTGTAGATGAACTGTCCCCAGGCCACACGGAAGGGGAAACGGTTCCACAGCAGGGTGAGTACCCAGATTCAGGACCCTGGCTAGCAATTCCAGATCCCTACTTCCTGGGCTAGTTGCTGTGCTCCTGAATCCCTGCCTCCCAGGGACTCAGGAATGTGACCTGTGGGGAAACAGGAGCTGTGAGGATGTGGTCAAATCAAGAAGAGTCTCTGCAAGATGAGAGAGTACAGCCAAGCAGGGTGGCTCATCCCCTTAATCCCAGCTACTCAGCAGGCTGAGATCCAGAGGATCACAGTTCAAAGCCAACTTGGGAACAACAGTCCAAAAAAGATTCTTCTCTCCAAAATAGACAGCAAAATGTCTGGATGGAGGTGTGGCTCAAGTGGTAGAGCGCCAGCCTCACAAGTAGGCTATGTGTTCAAATCCCAGTTACACACACACAACACACGCACACACACACACACACACACACACACACACACACACACACATAAATTAAAGTGGACTCTTAATTCAATATAATCAGTAACCTGTTTGCTTTTTCAAAAATTTTATTGTGATTAAGTGATTACATAATTTCACAAATTTCACAGTGTTGTGGAATAGTGATGCTTAGTTTAAGTCGCAAACACATTCTAACCTTCATGGGGCAAATTGTCTATGGTGGTCTAAAACGATTATGAGTTCTATGGGCTTTGATTATATAGTTATTTCTTCCACATTAGATGAAATGTACATTCCTTTCTTCTCTCCTTCCCTCTCCTTCCCTCCCTCCCATCACTGCCATTGAGTTGCTTGGTTTGTTTTGATCAATGTCCAGGGCAGATGATGGGTTGTATGTTTTCCCGTTTCCCTCTGTATCTGTGTCCTCCTCCTATTTCCCTCCGATGTGCCCATATATACTACATATGTGGTCGTCAGCATGGGGTCATTTAGTAATGATTCGGCCAGATGAGTGGAGGTCCTTTGTTTCTCGACTCTTGCTTACTTTGTGGTATCACCGTATGTTTTGGATTTAACATCCACTTATGAGGGAGACCATGTGCCATTTGTCTCTTTGGTCTTGACTTACCTCACTCAACATGATTTCTTCTAGTTCCATCCATTTCCCTGCGAATGCCATTATTTTGTCCCTTCTAATGTCTGTATAATATTCCACTGTATATAGATACCACAATTTTTGGATCCATTCATCTGTAGTGGGGCATCTGGGTTGTTTCTATATCCTGACTATTGTGAACAGTGCTGCAGTGAACATGGAGTTGTCCTTGTATCCTGGTTCCTGTTGTTCAGGATAGATGCCTAGGAGTGGTATGGCTGGGTCATAGGGGAGATCAATATTTAGCTGTCTGAGGACCCTCCAGACTGCTTTCCAAAGTGGTTGTATTAGTGTACATTCCCACCAGCAGTGTAATAGGGTTCCTCTTTCTTTGCATCCCCGCCAGCATTTGTCATTGTCTGACTTTAGGATGTGGGCCATTCTGACTGGGGTATCTCAGGGTTGTCTTTATTTGCATTTCCTTTACAACCAGGGATGGTGAACTTTCCTTTATGTGTTTCTTTGCCATTTTTATCTCTTCTTCTGAGAAGTCTCTCTTTAGCTCCCTTGACCATTTAGTAATTGGTTTGTTAGGTTTGGGAGGGATTAGTTTCTTGAGTTCCCTGTATATACTGGATATTAACTCCTTGTCTTATATATTGCTGGTAAATATTTTTCCCAGTTAGTTGGTTGTCTTTCTAGTTTGGCAGCTATGTCTTTAGCTGTGCAGAAACTTTTTATTTTAAGGTAGTCCCATTTGTCGAGTCTCTCTCCAATTTGTTGTGACCCTGGGACTCTGTTCAGGAAGTTTCTGCCTGTGCCTATAAGTTCTAGTGTCTCTCCTACTCTGTCCTGCAGTAGTTTCAGAGATTCAGGATGATGTTAAGGTCTTTAATCCATTTTGAGTTGATGTTAGTGCATGGTGACAGGCTGGGGTCTACTTTTAGTCTTCTGCATGTGGCCGCCAAGTTTTCCCAGCACCAGTAGTTGAAGAGGCTGTGCTTTTTCCACTGTATGTCTTTGGCTCCTAGTCAAATATCAGCTGGCTGTAGGCCTGTGGATTTATTTCTGGATCTTCTATTCTATTCCATTGGTCTTCAAGTCTGTTTTTGTGCCAGTACCATGCTGTCTTTGTTATGGCTCATAGTAGAGTTTGAAGTCCAGAAACAAGATCCCACCCATGTTGTCTTTTTTGCCTAGAATTGTTTTGGCTATTCTAGGTCTTTTGTTGTTCCATATGAATTTTTGGACTGTTTTCTGTATTTCAGAAATGACATCATTGGGATTTTAATAGGAATTGAGTTGAATATGTATATTAATTTTGGCAGCATGGCCATTTTCACTATAATTAAGGCTGCCTATCCAAGAACATGGAAGGTCTTTCCATTTCCTAGTGTCTTCTGTAATTTCTTTCTTTAAGTTTTTATAGTTTTCATTAAATAGCTGGGATTCTGGGCCTGGGTTACCAGCCCTTGTCCCATTTTGGACTTAAAAAATTTTTTTTTGCTTGTCCTCATCTTAGGGCTTGAACTCAAGGCCTATGCATTGTCCATGAGACTGTCAGTGCTCAAGCTAGCACTCTACCACTTGAGCCACAGCACCACATGAAGCTTTTCCTGAGTAGTTCATTGGAGATCAGAGTCTCATGGAATTTCCTGCCCAGGCTGGCTTTGAACTGTGATCCTCCAGATCTCAGCCTCCTGAGTAGCTAGGATGACAGGCGTGAGCCACCAGAGCCCAGCTCACAATTCCGCTTCTTGAAAGCAAGTGCATGGAAGCCCTGGACTCGCCGCTGGTGGCTCAGCAGAGCTAGCCTCCATTTCCTAGGGACGTGAGCATCTCTGCTTTGCTCTAGTGTCACACAGAGCCAGGAACGGCTGGAGGGTTTGAAGGGGAAGCTGCAGGGTTGTGCGACTGGATCACAGACTCGACATGCTGTCCCCTTTGTAGATGAACTGTCCCCAGGCCCTGCCTCCCAGGGACTCAGGAATGTGACCTGTAGGGAAAAAGGGTCTGTGAGGATGTGGTCAGGTCAAGAAGAGTCTGCACAAGATGAGAGAGTACAGCCAGGCAGGGTGGCTCATCCCTGTAATCCTAACTACTCAGCAGGCTGAGATCTGGAGGATCACTGTTCAAAGCCAACTTGGATACAACAGTCTAAGGACTCTTTTCTCCAAAATAACCAGCAAAAAGTCTAGATGGAGATGTGTCTCAAGTGGTAGAGTGCCAGCCTCACAAGTAGGCTCTGTGTTCAAATCCCAGTTACACACACACACACACATTCACCCAAGCACACGCACACGCACACACACGCCTTTAAAGTGGGCTCTAATTCCAATCAGTTACCTGATTTCTTTAAAAAGGGGAAGAATTAGGTTACAGAAACATAAAGGGAAGATGGAGGGAGAGGCTGGGTGTTTAATGCCACAAGCCAGAGAGTCTGAGGATGCCCAACAGCCCCCCCCATTTTCCATTCATTTAACAGTTTTCTTTGTGAGTCCTTCCCTGCACCCCACAATGTGTTGGGGCCTCTGTGGTGAGACCCAAGGACTCAAGTTCTTTAAGAGGAATATCAACTAAAAAGCTTAAAATTGCTTTCTTTTATTCCGTTTTTTATTGTGCTAGAAACGGGGCCTGAACTCAGGGCCTGACACTGTTCCCTCATTCTTCCTATTCAAGGCTGGTGGTCTACCACTTAAGCTTCTGACTTTTTGCTAGTTAATTGGAGATGGGTGTTTTATGGATTTCCCTGACCTGGGCTGACTTTAAACCATGATACTCAGATCTCCTCTGCCTTACTAACTGGGATTACAGGCATGGATTACCAACTCCTGTCCCACTTTGGACTTTAAAAAAAAAGTTTTTGCTGATCCTGGTCCTGGGGCTTAAACTCTGGGCCTGGGCACTGTCCCTGAGCCTCTCAGTGCTCAAGCTAGCACTCTACCACTTAAGCCACAGAACCACATGAAGCTTTTTCTGAGTAGTTTATTAGAGATAAGCGTCTCACGAACTTTCCCGCCTGGGCTGGCTTTGAACTGTGTGTCTCCAGATCTCAGCCTCCTGAGTAGCTAGGATGACAGGTGTGAGCTGCCAGCACAGAGCTCACAATTCCACTTCTTGAAAGCAAGTGCATGGAAGTCCTGGGCTGGCCGCTGGTGGTTCAGCAGAGCTAGCCTCCATTGCCTAGGGACGTGAGCATCTCTGCTTTGCTCCAGTGTCGCACAGAGCTGGGAATGGCTAGAGGGTTTGAAGGGGAAGCTGCAGGATCACAGACTCAACATGCTGTCCCCTTTGTAGATGAACTGTCCCCAGGCCACACGGAAGGGGAAACGGTTCCACAGCAGGGTGAGTACCCAGAGCCAGGACCCTGGCTAGCAATTCCAGATCCCAGCCTAACAAGTAGGCGATGTGTTCAAATCCCAGTCACAGACACACACACACACACACACACACACACACACACACACACACACAAATTAAAGTGGTCCCTAAGTCTAATATAATCGATGACCTGACTTTTAGGTTGCAGAGACATGAAGGAGAGATGGATGGACTGGATCTCTAATGCCACAAACCAATCTGAGGATGCCCAATAGCTCCCCCATTTTCCATTCATTTAAGTTTTCTTAGTGTCTTCCCTGCACCCCACAATGTGTTGGGGCCTCTGTGTGAGCACCCAAGGACTTTCAAGTTTCTTAAGAGGAATATCAACTGTAAGACAATTTGTAGCTCAAGTGGTGAGCACTCGCCTTGAGCCGAAGAGCTGAGGGACAGTGCTTAGGCCCAGGGCTCAAGCCCCACGACTGACAAAAAAAAAAAAAAGACTTTACAATGATGTTCTTCCTTTTTTCTTTTTTGTTTTGTGCTGGTAATTTGTAAGGTAAATCATCCAAGAAGCCACATTTTAAAATATAGAATATTGGAGTCTTTATTATACAGTTAACAGCTGCAGGCCGCCGGTTCTTACCAAGGCCTGCAGCACACAGATACACATAACACAGCTAGGAAACATGCTAAAGAGATAACAAAAGCAATACCAACAAGCCAATTCGGCTGAACTGGGACGCCATGATGGCCGGAGATGAGCCAGGAGACAGGACACAAGATATGATCACAGAGACACAAATGGCATGGAGTCATGGCGGCTGGACTGGTCTGGGCCTAAATAGTTCCCTGCAGGAGGCAGATCCTCAGGAAATTCCCAGTCCCAGGCACTGGATTGACAGATTCAGTAACCTATCAGCCAAGTGCCTGCTCCTGCCTCCAGGGGTCTGGGCACGCCCATTACCTGGGAGGAAGGTGATGGGGGTGGGGTGGGGGGAGGGTTTCCTTCCCCCAGCATGAAGACAAGATGCCAGACCTATAATCTACCATGTGGCCAATATGGTGCCAGCCAGACCTGGCCTCCTTACTTCAGTAACAGGGCTTAAACGCAGGGCCTGAGCACTGTCCCTCTTCCTTTCCACTCAAGGCTGGTGCTCTACCACTTAAGTTTCTGACTTTTTGCTGGGTCATTGGAGATAGGTGTTTTATGGATTGCCCTGTCCTGGGCTGGCTTGGAACCATACTTAGATCTCCTCTGCCTTACTAGCTGGGATTATAAGCATGGGTTACCAGTTCTTGTCTCATTTTAGACTGTTTCCCCCCCCCCCCGCCCCCCCGCTGGTCCTGATCCTGTGGGTTTTTTATTTTTTAAATTTGTCGGTCATGGGGCTGGGAAGTTGGCTCAGTGGTAGAGCACTTGCCTTGCATGCATGAGGTCCTGGGTTCAGTTCCTCAGCACCACATAAGCAAAAAGAAAAAAGCCGGAAGTGGCACTGTAGCTCAAGTGGTAGAGCGCTAGCCTTGAGCTGAAGAGCTGAGGGACAGCGCTCAGGCCCAGAGTTCAGGCCCCACGACCGGACCCAAAAAAAAAAAATTTGTTGGTCATGGGGCTTGAACTCTGGGCCTGAGCGCTATCCCTGAGCTCTTCAGCTCAAGGCGAGCACTCTATCACTAGAGCTACAGTGCCACTTCCGGTTTTCTGGTGGTTTATTGGAGGTAAGAGCTTCATAGACTTTCCTGCCCATACTGGCTTTGAACCGCGATCCTCAGATCTCACCCCCCTGAGTAGCTAGGATTACAGGCGTGAGCCACTGTCACCTGGCCTTATTTTTATTTGTTGGTCATGGGGCTTGAACTCTGGACCTGGGCGCTCTCCCTGAGCTCTTCAGCTCTAGTCTAGCACTCTATCACTTGTGCCACAGCGCCACTTCCAGTTTTCTGGTGGTTAATTGGAGATGAGGTGCCTCACAGACTTTCCTGCCCATACTGGCTTTGAACTGTGATCCTCAGATCTCAACCTCCTGAGTAACTTGGATTGCAGGTATGAGCCACTGGAACCCAGCGGTCCTGGGGCTTTAAGGTCAGGGCCTGGATGTTGTCCCTGAGCCTCTCTATGCTCAAAGCTAGGGCTCTACCACTTGAGCCACAGTGCAACGTGCAGCTTTTCTGAGTAGTTTATTGGAGATAAGAGTCTCTTGGACTTTCCTGCCCTGGCTGGTTTCAAACAGTGATCCTCAGATCTCAGCTTCCTGAGTATCTAGGATGACAGGGGTGAGCCACCAGTGCCCAGCCTTTTGGACTTCTTAGGGGGAATCAGCATGGACTGCAGGAACCTCAGGGATGAATGTGTTTTCCCCACATCTCATGTAAATGTCTTCTTTCCTCCCCAGAAGACCAGGGCACAGAGACAGGAGGAACGGCTACGCCTCAAGTGAATATTTGGGTGAGTGTGGTCAAGTTTGGCTCTGGGAAACATCGGGTTAGACTTACCTGGCCACTCTGCTATTCAAGCATTGCGCCGCTCACCAGTTATTTTCACACTAGCCTAGGTCCTACTTGGGGAAAGTTTTGCCTCTTTCCTGAGAGGCGGTGGGAAATATCTAAGTTTTAAACTGGTGAAGTGGCAGCTACTCAGGAGGCTGAGATCTGAGGATCAGGGGTTGAAGTCAGCCCAGGCAGGAAAGTCTGTGACACTCAACTAACCACCAGAAAATTGGAAGTGGAGCTAGAGTGCTAGCCTTAAGCAAAGAGCCGAGGGACAGTGCCCAAGCTGAGTTCAAGCTCTACAAACAACAATAACGTCTCATGGACTTTTCTTTTCTACCCAAGCTGGGCTTTGAACCTTGATCTCAGTCTTCTGAGTCACTCAGAGGCACTGTGCCTGATCCTATTCTTTCTTAACTAAGTTTCCATGAGCGTTCACCTACTTGTTTTTGTTTCTTGGAAAGAGAGCTATGGGTAAAAACGGAAACAGAAAAGACTTTGCGAAGAATGTCACCCAAATGCTTCGGCGTGTAGAATTCTTCATATGGAATCAAAGTTCTGATTTTCCAACAAAAGGAGAATATCCAGAGCTTGATATAGGTAAGAAATGCCAAGCAGATTCCTTCCAGCTACAGTAAGAGGCTGGCGGGGGGGGGGGGGGGGGGGGGCTGGTGTTCTCTGCACCTCCCATGAGGTCTCTCTGCTCCCAGACTACAAACATGTCCACGTCAGCACTTGGTGTGGCTGGGGCTCTTCTTGCAAAATGCATATGAGGCTGCGGATTAGTAGCTCCCACCTGCAACCCTACTACATAAGAGGCTGAGAGCTAAGGATCATGGTTCAAAGCCAACCCCGGGGAGGAAAGTCTGTGAGATTCTTATCTTTAATAAACCACCTGAAAGCTGGAAGTAGAACTGTGTGGCTCAAGGGGTAGAGTGCTAGCCTTGAGCACAAAAGTTCAGGGACAGTGCTCAGGCTCTGAGGTCAAGCCCCAGACTAGTGCATGCACACACTCACACACACACACACACACACACACACCAAAAATAACTGAGCAATCAACTTAAAGGTTCGTAGGGACAAAATTTCAAGTTCATGGTCACAATATAGGCCGTCAAAAAGCTCACGTGACCCACTTCCTCCAATGAGCCCTTTACTTTCCAGTTTTACCACCTCCCAAATATCACCATTGAATTGCGAATCTCCCATGAATTTATCTACGGCTGAGGTCAGAGCCTGCCCCGCCCCCCGCCCCCCAGCCAATCACCCTTCAGCAGTGCCATCAGCTAGAGCCATGCCTTCCACTCCCGACTTTGGGATAAACCAGCTCTCTTCTCATTTCCAACGTCCGTTAGAGTACAAGAATGTGCTCCCAAAAGGGTTTTGATTTGTCTTGTACCTGTATTGGGGCTTGAGCTCAGGGCACTGTCCCTGAGTCTCTTTTGGAGGCTGTACCAATTTGAGCCACAACACTACTTCCAGTTTCCTGGTGGTTCATTAGCAATAAGAGTCTCATAGATTTCCCTGCCTGGGCTGGCTTTGAACCACGATCCTCAGATCTCAGCCTCCTGAGTAGCTAGGATGACAGGGCGTGAGACACTGGCACCTGGCAAGCAAGCAGTTCTCTAACAAGTGTTATTAGCCCTGAGAGGCAGGGCCGGGGCCCGGCGCTCATCATCCCATGTCCCCAGTCTATGAAACCAAGAGATGCGACCAGAAGACTGTTCTGGCAGCTGGAAACAACACAATGGACATCGACTGCGCCAGCACCCTCACGGGATCTGGAAGGGAAGGTAAGGGTGGGGAGACAAACGCTCTGGGCGCTGTCCTGGGTGGCTGGACCCTCGGGTGGGGCTCGCAGCGTCCTCAAGCAAGAGAGAGTCTCACAACACCTCAGGCACACGGCAAATCCATGGGCGCCATGAGATGTTCGGGTTGCACTGAGATGACTCTCACCACAAATTCGGTTTTCTCGATGACCCCACAGAGGTCAGGGGTGCGTCCGCCAGAAGCTGCAGCCCTCACCTGTGCGTCTCGTTTTCAGGTGCCGGTAAGGTGGCTCTCATCACTTACCAGACTCTCGGGAACTTTCTGAACGAATCCTTCTTCCATCACAGAAAAGGGATGCGGGGAGTCAGGCTGAACTCTCAGGTCGTGACTGGCACCATTGGCTCAGAAGGCAAAGTCCACCTGTCAGACCCCGCACTGCTGACTTTTCAACACACTCAGGTGAGCAGGACCCACGGTGAGTTGGAGGTTCGTGGGTTTCACCAGCTTTCACCCAAATCCAGCCGCAAGCACTGATAGGTAAGAGGGCTGAGAAGACATGCCAAAGCACCCACCAATGCATCCCACACTGAAACCCAGAGCACCAGTGAGGCTGAGGAAGAGCGAGAACACTTGGAAACTATTAGAATTGAGAAGGTGCCAGACGCTGGTTGGTAGCTCACACCTGTAATCCTAGCTACTCAGGAGGCTGAGATCTGAGGACATCAGTTCAAAGCCAACCTGGGCAGGAAAGTCCGTGAGACTCTTATCTCCAATAAGCCACCAGAAAACCAGAAGTGGCGCTGTGGCTTAAAGTGGTAGAGCACTAGCCTTGAAAGCAAAAGCTCAGCACCCAGGCCCTGAGTTGAAGTCCCAGAACCATCACCATCACCACCACCACCACCAACAACAACAAGGAGAATAAATTCCTCCTAACCCCCACACCCCGCCCCAGCAGGTGTGGTGAGGCCAAACTTCCCCACCCATGCTCTCCCAAGCTGGTCCCTAACTCAGGACCTCGGATGAAATCATGAACTCAAAAAGATGAAATCACCTTCACACCGTCTCTTTCCAGCATGGCACCCTGAGAAGAAAGTGCTTGTGTGTGTCCTGGGAAGGATCCAAGGAAGGGGGCAGCTGGTCCACCGAAGGCTGCTCTCCAGTGAAAAGTAACGATTCTTACACCACGTGCAAGTGCTACCACCTGTCCAGCTTTGCTGTCCTCATGGCACTGGCCCCCAAGGTATCAAGATTCATGGGTCCTGGAGCTCATCTTACACTCATTTTAGGAAAATTGTGTGCCAGTCCTGGGGCTTGAACTCAGGGCCTGGGGTGTTGTCCCTGAGCTTTTCTGTTCAAGGCCAGTGCTCTACCACTACAGCCACAGCTCTACTTCCAGCTTTTTGTTGGAGATAAGAGTGTCTTGGACTTTCCTGCCCAGGTTGGCTTTGAACCGAGAGCCTCAGATCTCAGCCTTCCTAAGTAGCTAGGATTACAGGCATCACCGCCTGCGCCCAAATTAGAAAAAGACTCTTCAGGGGTCACCTGGTCGTAACCTGCGAAGTGACCTCAGGACACGGCAGTAGAAGGCGAGGGGCACGAAGTGGAGGGAAAACAAGGTGAGGTGGAGAATGTTCTGCTGGGGGCAGAAGCTGGGCTTCTCTTCCTCTCCTGTGGTGATGGCTCATGCATGTACCTCCCCGGCTCCACCCATTGCTTGAGAGGGCACCCTGGGCATGATGGGAGGAATCATTTGAATAGGTGCCCAAAGCACCATGGGAGCAAGAACCACAATGATGGGATGCAGGTCATCGGCCGTGTGTTCTGTCCGCCCTCTCTCATCCCCATGTACATAACAGTCCCTTCTCTGGGAGTCAGTGTAGAGCTCACCCCTCAGAGTTGTCACGACTGAGAGGTGAGGAGCTGGGGTACCATCTGCCCCCTGGCTCTGGGTAGATGTGGTGGGGATGTCCTTCATAGCTGTTAATGGCCCGACACTTTGTGAGCGGGAGTGGAGGGGGCTGAGGCCAGTGAGGGAAGTCCTGCACATCTGGCCATGGTAACATGGACGGAGGATTAGAAGTGCTCTTTGGCTAGCTGCTGGAGGTTCAGGAGGCTGAGATATAAGGATCGCAGTTCGAGGCTAGTCTGTGAGACTCTTATCTGCAATGAAAACCAGAAGTGGCACTATGGCTAAACGTGGTTAAGAGTGCTAATCTTGAACAACAGAGCTGAGACCTCGCACGGGCTCTGAGGTCAAGCCCCATGACTGACCAAGACAAAAGAATCCCAGGCTCCGAGGGGATTTTGTTCCTGATAACGGGAGCTGTACTGTCTCTCTCCTCTGGCGGCTTGCAGGCAGACTTCGCCCTGTCTGTGATCACCTGCGTGGGGCTGAGCGTATCGCTGCTGTGTCTCCTCCTGGCGGCCCTCACCTTCGTCCTGTGCCGGCCCATCCACAACACGGGCACCACGCTCCACCTGCAGCTCTCTGTCTGCCTCTTCCTGGCACACTTGCTTTTCCTCACGGGCATCAACCGAACTGAGCCGGAGGTGAGCGGTGTCATTGAGTGATCTCATTGCCAATCAAAAGATGACGAGGAAGAGACATTCATCAGAGGAACGGGGTAGGAGAAAGAGAAAGAAAAACCAAACTAGAGATCTTAAGGTTTCTTCCTGCAGAACGAGACCACATTTTCTGAGTGTCTGTTTATTCACTGGATGTCCAACTGGTGGAATTACTTCGGGTTAACATTAGCTGCTGTAACAAATAAGCCCCCAGCATATCAGAGGCTTAGCACAGCGCTCATTTCCTGTAGATGCGTCAGGGGTGAGCAGATTGAAAAGTTGTCGATCCTTCACTTCCAAGGTGAAGGAGACTCTTCCAAGGCTATCCTGTTTTAAACAACACAATGGGCAAAAAGAGCATCACAGAGTGCTTTAAGAAAGGCTTAGGTTTATATGGAATGCACAGACTACTTCAGCTCGTGTGTGTGTGTGTGTGTGTGTGTGTGTGTGTGTGTGTGTGTGTGTGTGTGTGTGTGTGTGCTGGCACTGGGCTTGAACTCAAGGCCTGGGTGCTTCCCTTAGCTTTTTTTTCAATCAAAGTTGATGCTCTACCTCTGGAGCCACAGGTCCACTTCTGACCTTTGAGATAGGAATCTCACAAGTTTTTCCCTTCCTAAGCTGGCTTTCAACCATGATCCTGAGATCTCAGCCTCCTGAGTAGCTAGGATTACAGGCGTGAGCCACGGGCACCCACCTTACATTGACTTCCGAGAGAAAATAGGATGTAAGATTCTTATTTCTCTGTTGCTGTGTCCATCATATATTTGTGAGCTTCTCCAGTGACATTTATTCCATGTCATTTCTGGCCTGCTGTGCTCACGGGAAAAGATAATTCCAATGGCCAACAGACACTCCCAGAAATTGGACAGCCTCCTGGCAAAGGGCCATAGGGGTTGGAGGTTGCCGGTCCAAGCCAAACTCTAAGCAAGACGCCAAGAAGATAATGAGAGCCAGGTGCTGGTGGCTCACACCTGTAATCCTAGCTACTTAGGAGGCTGAGATCTGAGGATCATGGTTCAAAGCCAGCCCAGGCAGGAAAGTCCATGAGACTCTTATCTCCAATGAACCACAGGGAAAATGGAAGTGGCGCTGTGCTTCAAAGTGGTAGAGTGCTAGCCTTGAGCAAAAAGAGCTCAGGGACAGCGCCCAGGCCCTGAGTTCAAGCCCTACAACTGACAACAACAACAAAGAAAGTGAGATCTGGCCCGCATGCGCCCCCACCGCCAGCTCCTCTCTCTCCCTTCTAGACGCTGTGCGCCATCATAGCAGGGGTGTTACATTACCTCTACTTGGCCTCCTTCATGTGGATGCTTCTAGAAGGCCTCCACCTCTTCCTCACCGTCAGGAACCTTAAGGTGGCCAACTACACCACCACAGGCCGATTCAAGAAGAGGTTCATGTACCCTCTGGGCTATGGAATCCCAGCTGGCATCGTGGCCGTGTCTGCAGCAGTTGGACCTAAGAATTATGGAACCTTTACCCAGTAAGCCTGAAGCGTGGGGGGCGGGGTTAGAAATGAATTTCAGTGCTATGACACCAGAATGATTTTTGTTATGTTGTTTGTTGTGTGTTTTCTTTTGTTCCTGCTGGTTCTGGGGTTTGAACTCAGGGCCTGGGTGCTGTCCCTTACCTTTTTTGTTTTTGTTCAAGGCTGGTGCTCTACCACTTGAGCCACACTTCCATTTCTGGCTTTGTGATGGTTAACTGGAAATAAGAGTGTCATATCTTTCCTGCCCAGGTTGGCTTTGAACTGTGATCCTTGGATCTCAGCCTCCCGAGGAGCTAGGATGACAGGCGTGAGCCACCAGAGCCCAGTTTAAAATGTTGTTTTATCATAGTGGTCATTCTCATCCTAGCAATCCTTACCTCTTTGCCAGGATCTATTTGTCCTCTAAACCCTCCCAGACATTCCATCTTCCCTACAAGTTCTATGACAGAAAAGCCACACAGGTCTACTGAGAGAATTCAAAGAAGATGGAAACAGGTGGAGAGACAGTCTGTGATCATGGACAGGCAGATTCAATCTTGTAAACCTGATTCCCACTTGATCTGCAGAATCGATGCATCTCCAATTAAAAAAAAATTCCCAGGAAATATGTTGTGCCCATTCATGAAAATGCTTCTAAAGTTTATATGCAGAGAAGACCCAGAGTAGCCAGCATGAGATTGAAAAGGAGGAGACTGGCGAGAACCTGAATCTTTGTTAAGATCGCGTCTGCTATAGTCAATCATTTGGTCTTCCCACCAAACTGGCCCTGCTTCATCCTTGGGGAGGCTAAGACGCTTGTTTAGGTCTCTGTCTAGAAGCCTGGACTCAAACTCTACTTCCTCTCTGGAGGAAAAGGTAGCTGATGCCTCTCTTCCTGTCCACAGCTGCTGGCTCAACCTTGATAAAGGATTTATCTGGAGCTTCATAGGACCCGTGGCAGTCATTATCTTGGTATGTGGTAATTATTCATGGCTGTGCCTGGTCTTATATGGCCAAGCAGAGTATATGCTTCTGGTGTGTGTGTGTGTGTGTGTGTGTGTGTGTGTGTGTGCACCAGGGCTTGCACTCAGGGCCTGGGCACTACTGTCCCTTAGCTTTTTCATTCAAGGCTAACACTCTACCACTTGAACCACATCTCCACTTTTTTGGTGACTCATCAGAGATAAAAAGTCTCCTAAGACTTTCCTACCCAGGTTAGGTTCAAACCATGATCCTCAGATCTCAGTCTCCTGAGTAGCTAGGATTACAGGTGGGAGCTACCAGTGCCCGGCTATGAATCTTTTTTTTTTTTTTTTTTTTTTTTGTGGTGCTGAGAATCAGACCCAGGGAAGGTCTCACAGGTGCTAAGCAAAAGGCCAACCTCTGACCTGTGCCTTTAGTGTTTCTCTCTCTCTCTCTCTCTCTCGCTCTCTCTCCTCTCTCTTCTCTCTCTCTCTTCCCCCCCTCTCTCTTTCTCCCTGCCCCATTAGAAAAGCCTGGCTCTCATTCACTCAGCAAATGGTTATCTCCACAAGGGAACTGGGAACTTGTGGGTTACACCTGCTATGGAGATGAATGATAACAGACTTCCACTACCAGCACGCTGTTTTGAACAACTGAGGATCAATCTACCCAGCCAATCACCAGGTGCCACAGAGCACTCACTGTGCACAGTACAAACCGTACCACATCACGCTGGTCCAAAGAAACCTCCGTCTCTGGGGGAACGATTCTCAGATCCAACGCAAGCTAGGGTGCCTGAAAGGGTCTCCGCAGAATAGCTCAAGTCGCTTTGTTTCACGCTGCTTCCATCCACAGATAAACTCGGTGTTCTATTGCCAAATTCTGTGGATTCTGAGAAGCAAAATTGCCTCCCTCAATAAAGAAGTGTCTACCCTTCAGGACACCAGGTAAGGAAAGGACCATCATCAGTGGTGCCCAGGGATGTGGCTTTATAAGACCATTCTTCCCGGGAGAGAAAGCCCATTAAACACAAGGTATGGGCTGGACACCAGTGGCTCACCCCTGTGATCCTAACTACTTAGGAGGCTGAGATCTGAAGATTGAGGTTTGAAGCCATGCTGGGCAGGAAAGTCTGAGATGCCTATCTCCAATTAACCAGGGGGGAAAAAAGGAGCTAGAAGTTCAGCTGTGTCTCAAGTGGTTAAGTGCCAACATGGGGTGAAAAGGCTAAGGGACAGTGCCCAGGCCCTGAGTTCAACTCTCAGTGTGTGCACACATACAAAAACAGATGAGGAGTCCTGGCTCGGTGGTAGAGTACTTGCCTAGCCCATGGGTAAGTCCCTGGGTGCAATTTCCAGCACAGAATTCATGTAATAATGGACCTTATTTATCCAGGGAATATTCACTGACTTTTCTCCTTGGAAGACACACTGTATATGAAACCAAATCCAGGAGTATCCATGTTGTCTTTTTATCTCCCTTGAGAGTATACTCACTTCTAAGTTCACTCTCTTTGATAACAGAAATTTAGTCCTCATTGGTATCATTTAACTCTTAAAATAAGAATGAGGAGTTGGAGGCATGACTGAGGTGGTACAGCACCAGCTAATCATGAGCAAAAGCATCAGATACCAAGTTCAAGCCCAGTCTCAGACAAATAATAACAACAACAACAATAATAATAATGTTTATTCGGAACTTGTTATATATAAATGTCCTTTGTCAATATTATTTTATGGAATCCTTTTAACTACAAATCACGGGATTGATATTACTATCCCAGTTATGTCCCAGTTATTAAAATGAATCAAATACATGCTCATCTTTTTTTTTTTTTTTGTCATGGGGCTTGAACTCTGGGCCTGGGCGCAGTCCCTCAGCTCTTCAGCTCAAGGCTAGCGCTCTACCACTTGAGCCACAGCGCCACTTCCGGTTTTTCTGGTGGTTAATTGGAGGTAAGAGTCTCATGGACTTTCCTGCCCACGCTGGCTTTGAACCGTAATCCTCACATCTCAGCCTCCTGAGTAGCTAGGATTACAGGTATGAGCCACCAGCGCCCAGCACTCACCTTTTTATAATAAACTCGTTTTTAATTTCTATGTCAATCCTGGGGCTTGAACTCAGGACCTGGGCGCTGTCCCTGAGCTTTTGTACTCAAGGCTAACATTCTACCACTTGTGCCATAGCTCTGCTTCCAACTTTCTGGTGGTTCATTGGAGATAAGAGTCTCACAGACTTTCCTGCCTTGGATTGGCTTTGAACCACAATCTTCAGATTTCAGCCTCTTGAGTAGCTAGGATTACAGGTGTGAGCCACCAGCACCCAGCTGTTTCTATTTTTATTATTTTTTCCTGTTTATGTGGTACTAAAAAATCGAACCCAAGGCCTCATGCATGCTAGGCAAGCAGTCTACCACTAAGCCACCTTCCCAGCCCTTTTACTATTTTTTTTGGGGGGGGTCCAGTCGTGGGGCCTGAACTCTGAGCCTGGGGGCTGTCCTTTAGCTCTTCAGCTCAAGTCTAGCACTCTACCACTTGAGCCACAGCGCCACTTCCGGCTTGTTTTTCTTTTTGCTTATGTGGGGCTGAGGAATCGAACCCAGGGCCTCCGGCATGCAAAGCAAGCACTCTAACCACTGAGCCACCTTCCCAGCCCCTTTACTGTTTTTTTAAAAGTTGTACAAAGGGGGCTCAGTTTATGTGTACAATGTATCTTGACAGCGCCCTCTTTCCATTGTTCTCCTCCCAGGTCTCTCCCAGCCTCACCCAGCCCCTCATTTCCTAGTTCCATTTCCACGAATGGATACGTATCTGGAACTGGTTTGTTATAGAGATAAAAAAAAAAAAAACCACACTGCTCAACCTCTGTCTGACCCTGCGTTTAGTCTTATCTACTTACCAAGATGACCTAAGATCTCTTGTCCCCAGTTTCCTTCATCTTTAAGGACCTAAGAATGTCAGCCTTCTGGGAATTTCCCAACCCTGTACATGTGTGTAAGTGAAGATTCGTGGTGGACACACACACACACACACACACACACACACACACCGCAAAGTTCTCAGTCAATTGTTAAACACCCAACGCAATTTTTGTTTGAGGAAACCCAGTAGGACACAATATTAGGAAGTCAGGAAATCATCCAAATGCACCCACCCAAAATCCTACAAGGCATTGCCTACAAATCTCACAGTGATTCCATGTAGAGGACTTAGTCATCTTCAAGAATGGTCAGCAGCGGTGATTGAAAAGCTGGGCTCAGCCTCATCTTCAAGTAGGTGGCTATAAAGATCACTCAGCTGGTGGACACTGGTGGGTCACGCCTGTAGTCCCAGCTACTCAGGAGGCTGAGATCTGAGGATTGTGATTCAAAGCCAGCCCAGGCAGGAAAGTCCAGAGAAGCTCTCATCTCCAATTAACCACCAGAAAACTGGAAGTGGCGCTGTGGCTCCAAGTGGTAGAGTGCTAGCCTTGAGCAAAAGAGCTCAAGGACAGCACCCAGGCCCTAAGTTCAAGCCCCATGACTGACAAAAGGAAAAAAAAAATGCTTATAGATAATAGTTAACACTGCCCTTTTCCCTGCAGAGTCATGACATTGAAAGCCATTTCGCAGCTCTTCATCCTGGGCTGCTCGTGGAGCCTTGGTTTTTTCATGGTGGAGGAAGTAGGGGAGGTGGTTGGCTCGGTCATGGCCTACTTGTTCACCATCACCAACGTCCTGCAGGGGGTGTGGCTCTTCGTGGTGCACTGCCTGCTGAACCGCCAGGTGAGCCCCCTCCGCCCCAGGGCACCGCCCAGTGCCTGCTCCCCCTCCCCCCACTTTTTGATGGGTCTCGCGAGATCCATCTTCTACTTGGAATGAGGAACCAGTGCTGCTTGGCCCTGCTGAGTCCTCTGGGCTTACCAACGAATCATCTCCATGGAGCTCTCTTTTTGTTTTTCCTGCCCATGGCGGGGCTTGAACTCGGGGTCTCATGCTCTCTTAGCCCTTTCTGCTCATGGCTAGCGCTCTACCCCTTGAGTCACACTTCAACCTTCAACTTTTTGGTGGCAAATTGGAAAGAAGAGTCTCATGGGTTTTCCTGCCCAGGCTGGCTTCAAACCATGGTCCTCAGATCTCAGCCTCCTAAGTAGCTAGCATTACAGGCCTGAGCCACCAGGGCCTGGCTTCTACCATTCTCTTGGAAGAGCATGCGTGGGTTGGGGTCAGGGGCCATGTTGCCTCTGGAATTGCCTTTCTGGATGTTTCCTTTGCTGTCAAGTGGAACTGGTAGCAGCTGCAGTGCCGGTGGTCGAAGGCCCGGCTCTCCCCCAGGTCTCAGCACTGCCTGTGGGCTCTGGGTTCTTCCTGCCCAGAAGAAATACAATTTCAGTTCCCTGGTGAAGCAGGGTTGAGCGCTGACTCCTTCCCTGCCCACGTTCACGTGTCCAGAAGCTAAGCGAGGTTGACTCGGGGCATTTCCGGGCACGCAGTGGCATTTCCATGTCAGGGCTGCGGGATTAGAATGGTAGATGTGTCCCGGCCTCTGGGTGACCTTGGCTGAGTCCACACACCTTCAAGAGAACTCACTCCGGCAGAGTCCAAGGAAAGGTGGAGGCCTGTCTTCCCCGAGTCGAGGTGAGGGTTAAATGACCAAAGGGCCTCACACATAGCTAGTGTGCCATGAACGGTGCCTCCAGTTACCTTAATGCCCATCACCACCATCACCCCCATCACCATTATAACCATCACCACCACTGCCACCATCAAATGATGATCACCAGCGTCAGCACCAATATAACCACCACCATGCTCATCCCCTTCCCCGTCACCACCATGGCCACCACTGCCCATCAAGGTCTTGATGTCATCCAACACAAATACCTTTCCACAATGGAGATTAAGTTTCAATCAAATGAATCCCCCTGAGTGTGGCCAAGACAACAAGAAGGAAATGACCAGGACGTGCCAGTTGGGTCCACTGGCTGTAACCCCGGCTTCTCTCTCTCTCTCTCTCTCTCTCAGGTGCGGATGGAATACAGGAAGTGGTTTAGTGGAATGCGGAAAGGGGCTGAGGCTGAGAGCACCGAGATGTCCCATTCCACCACCCACACCAAAATGGTAAGAGCAGCTCCCAACCCTCAGAACGCCTCCTCCCAACCCAGCACTGGGTGTGGCTGGAGCGCCCCGATCTGAAAGACAATTGCTTAGCTTAGTGACAATTGTTAGCTTCTTGACAATTGTTAGCTTCTTGACAATTGTTAGCTTCGTGACAATTGTTAGCTCCGCACAAGACGTAATGCCCTCTCCCTTTCCTTTCTCTTCTCCCTCTTTACTTTCCACATCTTCTTCCTCTTCTTTCCCCTTGTTTGCCTCTTTCATTTCCTTCGTTCCTTCCTTCCTTCCTTCCTTTTTTCCCTTTCTTCCTTCTTTTTCTTCCTTTTTTCTTTTTGTGCCACTCCTGAGGCTTGAATTCATGGCCTGGACACCATCTCTGAGCTTTGATGTTCAAGGCTAGCAACCACTTGAGCCACAGCTCCACTTCCCGTTTCTGATGGTTTTATTGGAGTTAAAAATGGCATAGACTTTTCTGCCCAGGCTGGCTTTGAACCACAATCTTCAGATCTCAGCCTCCTGAGTAGCTACCATTGCAGGTGTGAGCCACTCTGGCCTGGCTTTTCTTTAAAGGATTATGTAATTTAAAATGTGTCTCAGCCCGTTTACCCAACACACGTCCATTACCCACTCTGTATGCCCTGTCCAGCCATTGGGACACAGCACCAGACACGTTGGCAGCCCTTTCCTTCCCAGTGTCCACATCCAAGCTGGGTGGATGCACAGAGAGTAAGCCACAATAACTGAGTCACACAGTCCGTTAGAAAACATTGTTACATTAAAAATACAACAAGCACAAGAAGTCAGGAGTCCACGGGTGGAAGTTCAGCTTTGTTCATTATAATCATTAACTCATTGATTACACCAATGAGCCACTGGCACCTGGATGAAAATTCTTTATTCTATTGGTTGGCATCTAGGCCGATTCCAAACTTAGCTGTTAGGAATTGTGCCACAACAGACATTGAGTGTGCAAGTGTTTTGGTTCCGTGGTGCAGACACTTAGCAGCTACTCAAGAGGAAAGGAAAACAAGGAACACCGCCAGTGTCACACAAAAACAAACTAGCCACTTAAGATGCAGAAATTTAGGATATTGCGGTTTGAGGCCAGCCTGGGAATTAAAAAGAAAAAAGTAGTTCACTGGGTGCTGGTGGCTCACACCTGTAATCCTACACAGAAGGCTAAGATCTAAGGATCATGGTTCCAAGCCAGCCCAAGTAGGAAAGTCCATGGGACTCTTCTCTCCAATGAACCACCAGTAAACAGAAAGTGGCGCTGTGGCTCAAAGTGGTAGAGTGCTATCCCTGAGGAAAAAGGCTCAGGGACAGCACCCAGGCCCTGAGTTCAAGCCCAATCACGAACAGCAACAACAACAAATTCACAAGATTCCCATCTCCATTAATTGCTGTGTGCAGTGGTGTGAACCTGCCGTTCCAGCTACAGAGAAGCACAAGTAGGAGGATCAATGCACAGGAATAAAGTGAAGCACTAACTTAGCTTCCTGAGTAGCTAGGATTACAGGTGTGAGCCACAGGCACCAGGCTCCAAGAGAAGCTATGGAGCAGGTCTGTGGGCACAGGGCAGGTGCACTGGTCCCAGAACTCAGGAATCCATGGCTTGGAGTCTGTATGTAGGGTATGTAGTCTTCTCAATAATGATGGGGGGCGGGGGGGACTTTAGCACACATACCCTGCAAGTCTCCCCCAAGTGGGCCTCTCATGAGGTTTGTTAAGGGAACTTTATTTAAAACTGAACTTTGCTGGGTGCCGGTGGCTCACACCTGTCATCCTAGCTACTCAGGAGGCTGAGATCTGAGGATCACCATTCAAAGCCAGCCTACGCAGGAAAGTCCATGAGACTCTTATCTCCAATTAACCACCAGAAAACCAGAAGTGGTGCTGTGGCTCAAGTGGTAGAGTGCTTGCCTTGAGCTGAAGAGCTCAGGGAGAGTGCCCAGGTCCAGAGCTCAAGCCCCACGACTGACAAAAACAAAAACAAAAACTGAAACTTGCCAAGTGCCAGTGGCTCACTCCTGTCCTCCCAGATACTGGGGAGGCTGAGATCTGAGGATCACAGCTTGAAGTCAGCCTGGGCAAGGATGCTCATGAATCATCTCCAGTGAACCAGAAGTTAGCCAGAAGGGAGGCTGTGGCTCAAGTGGTAGAGCACCAGCCTTGAGGGGAAAAAGTATCCTGGGTTCAAACCCAGTTTTTTTCACCCATATGTAAGCCTGCAAACACACACAGTCATAGAGTATAAACTCAGGGCCCAGCCACTGTCCCTGAGCTCTTTTGCTCAAGGTATCCCTTTGAGTCACAGCTCCACTTTGTTTTCTAGTGGTTCATTGTAGATAAGACTTATGGACTGGCTGGCTTTGAACTGTGATCCTCCAATCTCAGCATCCTGAGTAGCTAGGATGACAGGCAAGAGCCACTGGCTAACTTTATAACTTCATAATGAGGTTATGGACTATAGACTTTCCTAAACTTTGGACCTTATAGAAAGCTTTGCCAGCTCCAAGGAAGGTAGAACTCTGGCCAGTTCTTGAAGTGTTTGTTTTCTTCTCAAGTAGGGGGACCCCGGGAAGTCATTGGAGTCCATTCATGGAGAAGATACTTGTGTGCCGCTGGCTCCCTCTGGTGGTTGTTGGTGGATTGTGCTAATGTGCCTTTCTCGTGAAACACCCAGACTTCCAGCAGCAGGCTGGAAGACCATTTTTATCAGTTATTAATGCATTTTACTGTATATAGTTTCTCTGTGATATTTTCCATTCATTTTTATGTATCATGCTTTGATCAAGCCTTCCATCCATTCATCTCCTCCCCCGCCCTCTCCCCACCCCACCCCCTGCGTTTCTCCTTTCCTTCTCCCCATCCTTTGCTTCCAGTCACCTTCTTCAACTCTAATAATTTTTTTTTTGGCCTGTCATGGGGCTTGAACTCTGGGCCTGGGCACTGTCCCTCCACTCTTCATCTCAAGGCTAGTCCTCTAGTGCTTGAGCCACAGCGCCACTTCGGTTTTCTGGTGGTTCATTGGAGATAAGTGTCTTACGAACTTTCCCGCCCAGGCTGGCTTTTAACTGTGATCCTCAGATCTCAGCCTCCTGAGTAGCTAGGATGACAGGCGTGAGCCACCAGCACCCGGCTACCCCTAATAATCTTTCAGGTCAAATGTATCTTGTTCTTCTTAATTCCACATACGAAGATCACCTGTATTTATCTGTGCTATTTCTCTGAAAATAATGCCCTCCAGTTTAATGAATGTAGCTGGGAATCTCAGGATGTCCCTTTCTTCATGGCTGAATAATACTCTATTGTGTCCGTAGCATTGTCTTACCCATTTACCTGCTGAAGACTCCGTGACCTGGGCATTGTTAGTACTGTAAATAAATGTCTTTGTGGTAGACTGTAGAATTTCCTTTAGAAAATTATCCATGGGTAGTATGGCTGCATCATCTTTTTTTTTTTTTACAATGAGTTAACATGTACTTGTAACATGAGGCAAGTTCATCATGGTATTTGCTCACGTGTAGACACAGTGTGCTTTGAACAGATTCTCCTTCTCCACATGTTCCCTTTCCTCCTCTCCCCTTTTCAGTGTTGACTTTCATTGTGCTATCTCCCTACACATCTGTTCTACACGTGTATCTATTATATATATATATATATATATATATATATACACACATTTTTTCCTCCTCTTCCCTTCAGTATCCTTCCCCTCCTCTCATTGATGTCCTCCTAAACAGTCCCTATTCAACACAATTGCTATTCTCCTCTGTTGAACACTTGATTTTCTCCCATTCTGGAGGGTGTGGGGGGTGGGGGGAGTACTCACGCATGCACTGGTCCTGGGGCCTGAACTCAAGACCTTGGTGCTGTCCCTGAGGATTTTTTTGTTCAAGGCTAGCATTATACCTTTAGAACCACATCTCGACTTCTGGCTTTTGGGTGGTTATTTGGAGGTAAGAGTCTCATGGAGTTTCCTGTCTGGACTGGCTTCAAACCTTGATCCTCAGATCTCCGCTTCCTGACTAGCTAGGATGACAGGAATGAGCCACAGGCACCCAGTTGTCCTCTAATATTTTTTGTTGAGGTTATTCGAACAACAATAAAAATCATTTCAAAAATATGCAATCTGAATAATGTAACAATAGTGCAGTGTACTCATCTCAAAAGGAATTGTGAAAGTGGCTTTTATAATCACACAATAAAATTCACATGAGATGCAAAGTTTGTAAGAAAAATACTGTACCTCAAATAATGCTGGGTAATTTGGATTAACTGACCAAGAGGAAAACATATTGTAGTGTGTGTGTGTGTGTGTGTGTGTGTGTGTGCGTGCACGTGCGCGTGCTGGTACTAGGGCTTGAATTTAGAGCCTAGGTCTTTCCCTTAGTGTTTTTGCTCAAGGCTGGTGCTCTACCACTTACGTCACACCTCCATTAGTTTTTTGGTCATTGGAATCTCACAGGCTTTCTGCCCGAGCTGGCTTTAAACTGCCATCCTCAGATCTCAACCTCCTGAATAGCTAGGATTACAGGCATGCGCCACCAGTGCTTGGCTCACAGGGTATTTTTTAGGCTGTAGGGGTCTGGTTCATTTCTCTTCCAATTAAAGAACTAAAAGGCAGGAAAGGTTTTCAAGCAGACAGAGTGAGTGTATTGGAAAGGGTGGTAGAGTATGTTCTCCATGAGCAGAGCTCAGCTGCGGCAAGTGCAGTGGGGTCCTCCTGGAGGGCCACTCTTACACTGCAGGGCTCCTCCCGTGTCTTCTGCCCTAGGCTTTGCACAGATGGATTGATGGCTTGCGTATGTGCTGCCTCGCTCTTTCTATTGATTGAGCAGGGACCCAGGGCATTATGGGAAGAAGCATTTGAGCAGGAACCCAGGGCATTGTGGGAAGCAGCAGCACCATTGTGGGCCATGTGTTTTTTGTCAGGTTTTCTGTTGGTAATTTCCTAGCCCTGTCTACCTCTCCTTCACATCTATTACCAAAATACATTCTACACGTTTAGATTATGGAAATGGAAATGATACATCTTTATATGTAAAGTGCCTGAGCACAGTATGTTTTTAACGACAGTACAAACTGGAGGAAATAAACCAAACAAGGCTGCACAGGTGAAGTAACAATGATGGGAGAACCGGGTTTCTTTGTGCTGGGGAGGCCAGGGTGGGAGGTCCAGAAACATGGGCCATCTGAATACTAATTACAGTGATTTTTAACATTAGTCAGGAACATCAAGAAGTATCCCAAAGTGCACAAATCAATTAAGCACATACAAAAACACAAATCCAGTTAGAAATACAATAAGTACAAAAATACAATACCCTGCCGGGCGCTGGTGGCTCACGCCTGTAATCCTAGCTACTCAGGAGGCTGAGATCTGAGGATCACGGTTCAAAGCCAGCCCGGGCAGGAGAGACCATGAGACTCCTATCTCCAATAAACCACCAGAAAACTGGAAGTAGCGCTGTAGCTCAAGTGGTAGAGGGCTCGACTTGAACTGAAGAGCTGAGGGACAGAGCCCAGGCCCAGAGTTCAAGCCCCACGGCCAACAAAAAAAAAAAAAAAATACAATACCCTCCACAAATGTTCAAGTAGATTAGGTTTTTGTTTGGTTTGGGAGGGGTTGGTGGTATTTTTTTTTTTTTTTTTGCCAGTCCTGGGGCTTGAATTCAGGGCCTGGGTGCTGTCCCTGAGCCTCTTTGTGCTCAAAGCTAGTGCTCTACCATTTGGGCCACAGCACCACTTCCAACTTTTTCTGGGTGGTTTATTGGAGATAAAGAGTCTCATGGACTTTTCTTCCCAGGCTGGCTTTGAACTGCGATCCTCAGATCTCAGCCTCCTGAGTAACTAGGATGACAGGTGTGAGCCACTGATACCCAGCTCAAGTAGACTCTGGTTTTAAGAAAACATTACAGTTCACTAGTGGGGGAAAAACAATACCTTAAGTCCCAGTGATAACTTAAAATATCATTTATCTGGAAATGGGAACTACTTTTAGTGTTTGTACAAATTTACAAATAACATTAAAACAGAGAAAACCTGTACACCAATGGTATTGCTATGCGTCCCCCCACCCCCACCAAGTCTGACGAATCCATTAGTTTGGCCCCTCGATTCTTACGAGTCCTTTGGTGACGTGGGCAGGTCCAGAGCCATCCAGTAAGGCAGGGAATGGCCACGCCAGCTCTTTGTGATCAGTCACTTCAGCACAGCACAGGCGGCACGAACCAGAGCCAGACACACCGCCAACTCAGCATCACAGAGCGAGTAGACACAGAACCAAAGCTGCACACAGACAGCATTCTCTATCGACTGCTCGTGTGCTGCGCTTGACAGCATCCTGCCAGGCTCCTCTGCAGTCCGGGGGTGTGGCAGGCTTGGCACTGGACTGTAATGGATTTCCAGTGCTTAGTCCATACTCCAGCACACACCCCGCACACACACCTCCTCAGGGTGCTTTCTCCTCCCCTCAGACTTGGCAGTAAGAGTAAGAATTGTTTTTAAATGAAGAAAATGATGCAGAAGGCGGGAAGGGACATCTTAGGACCGCTCTCCGTTCATGCTGCCACAACAATGTGAAGGACTTTGAAGCGTAGTCACTAGCTTAGCCTGACACACCACTGTCTCTCTCAACATGGTATGAGAAGCCACAGTGGGCAACACCCCGTCGACGTAAAAATGCAAGGTATCTCCATCCATGGGGCTGCTCCAGATGAGGGGACTCCACACCCCAGTTCAAGTGCTCCATAAACAAGCCATCCAAACCACAGGGCGAGTTGGGCACTGGTTACTCATGCTTGTAACCCTAGCTAATCAGAAGGCTGAGATCTGAGGGGTGCAGTTTGAAGCCAGCCTAGGTAAGATATATCCAAGAGACTCTGATCTCTAATTCACCAAAAATACCCATTGAAGTGGAACTGTGGCTCAAGTAGTAGAGCACCAGTGAGAGCAGGAGACCACGTTCAAAGCCCAGTACTGGCACACGCGCACACGCACACACAGACACAATGGAGCTTCATCCCGTGGAGGAGGCCCATCTTGCCATAGTCACTGCAGCGTCTCACGGAGTAGCTACCCAGAGCCCTCATCTGGGGCCAAGCAGCTCAGGGCTGAGGTGAGAGACATGGCGGTCACCACGGGGAGAGGACACACCTGCAGGGCAATGGTGGCCTGCCTGAGTTGGGCTCCCCATTGCAATCTGCCTGAGGACCCACTGGGTCACCCCAGGACCAACTGATGGCAAGCTGCCATTATGGAGCGGTGCATAGTCGAATGACTCAATCCTCCCTTGCTCAGTGTTGCCCGGAAGTGTGTGTGTGCATGGGTATCTGGGGCCGAGGCGCATGCTGGGCTGGCTGTATGGGGTACTTTTGGTGGTCTGGCCTGGGTGAATTCACACTGGTGTTTTGTGCATGAAAATGACTGTGTGGGAGCAGATCACGATACTGGGATGAGGGATTCTCCACCAGGTGTCCCGTTCCCAGCCTTGCTCATGTGACAAGGGCTGGGCAGCGTGGAAGGCATGTTCGTGGCAGATGACGGGTGCAGGTGAGGCCTCGGGTCACCCTGCTCTGTCCCCAGCAGCACGGAGGCGTGGGAGCCACTCCAGGGCCAAATGTACTGCGGCTGTCAAAGTTGCCATTGCTGGGAGAGCCGGGCTCACAGGCCATGCAGAAAATGGTGCCCGGAGCTGTCTCTCCAGCACTTTCCTGGCCACACGGAAGAGCAGCTGGTTCCTTGGCAGCTCTTCTTTTCTGGTGGTTTCCACTGCCTCCCTCTGGCTCAAGCCACCACCAAGAACTCTGTCTAGTTCCTTCCTTCTGCCCAGTGGACGTGCTGTGTCGGGTACAGGACAGCCAGTGAGTTCCTCAGAGCTGCGCATGCTCCTGAGCACCCATGCACATGTGCGACAGCCAGCTCCATCTCGGGCGCTCTGGATGGCCTGGCCCCGG